CAAAACCTCAAGCATACCTAACATACACATAAGTTTAGCAAGCAGCATACACAAAAAACCCAGATAACATTTACTTTAGTGGTGCTACTGCAGAAGGCGCAACACTTTTACTGTAGCTGACCCGTTTCCAGGCCAGGGACGGGTATCTGCGACCTGATGGAGGCAGAGAGGGTGACTGTGGTCATGTGCAATAGTATGTGCTTTTGGTGGCATTACCGTTGAGAGGTTGTGAAGGCCAATTATTTTTGATGCATCAGTTTGTTCAGTCCAAGTTGGGAGGGGCTGCTCGTATCTGCCCACAATATTAAAAGCCTGGTCGAGGATAAATTGAAAATAAAAACTCAATGACCACCGTCCGGTTCTGCCCAGTAAACACTTTCTGAATGAGGTTATCGTCGCTAGTTTCAAGTGTTTTTCAGTAAATCACGATATTCATGTAGTAAATGATGGTCCCATTTAGAGGAAAATAGAGCAGAAAGCAGGGGAGGCTTTAGGGCGGGGCTACCTTGTGACGGACAAGTCACTAACATGGCGACCTGTCAATCAGAATAGAGGCGAATTGTTTCTGCTGCGTCAGCGCCGTTGAAAAAGCTTATTAGGCTATTTTTCGCTAACCAAAATTAGCTTCCCGGTTAAAATCACAGTTAATGTGAATTACAGTCACACCTTGCTAAACAAGCTGGCTGGCGCCCACTCCCTCGTCCAAATATGGTAATTTCTGGTTCCAATAAACCAAGATGGCGACAGGCAAAATGCTAAACTTGAGGCTTCAAAACGGTATTCAACAAACCAACAGGTGACGTGACCGTGGCTAGGTCCATTTTTTTAATACCGTCTTTTGTCCTACCTTGAAGAGACTTCCGTATAATCTCAAAATATTTGTTAGTTTAGAGATCTTTAATGCTGGTTTTACTCCCAAGCCAAATATTTAAAACTAGATCAGTGCAACAGTGTAACAATTCAGGAATAATTAGCAAAGGAGTTCTTAAATCGTAGTAGAATTAACGATTCTGAAAAGTCAGGGCTGATTCATAACCAATGTGATTTTATTTTAATATTTTATTTTTATTGATGCTTGCATTGAATTGAGACTTGCTGCAGATAATCACCGACAATCAACATTATGTTTCCTTGAGGATGTTTTAAAGTCTACAAGATTATGGCTACCTCACACACAATTGGAAAGAAGCTTTAGCGCTTAGTTCAGTATATGTGATTTGTAGTAAATGAGCTAAAATGTAAAAAGTATACAGTATGTTCAATTAAGTAGTCACCAGGTTTTAGCCTGCAGTAATGTTTTTTTAAGTGAGTGATACTCATGGATCATTTAAAGCAAGTGGTGTGACTCAAAGTTCTGCTTATATTCATACTATATTGATAAATATAAGTACAAGTTTTATTCTTAAACAGCTTCTAAAAGCATTTTTTATGTCATTATAAAATATGCTAACTTACTGATTGATTGGACTGAATGAGGAGTTTCATCTGTTTTTTATCTAAGATTAAATTAATACTGTTTGTTTGCTGTAAGCAGCAAATGTCTGGTATTTTATGGGATTAGTGATCCGTCAGTTGTTAAAACTATATTTATTAAATGAATATTGAACAGCACTGACATGTTAATATTTTTGGTGTGTCCCTCATCTGATTAAAAGCACCACTAATTCATGTGGCACGAAAAGTGTTTAATTTGCCTTTCTGAAACCTGGATGTGACTAAAAGGCAGCAACAGCGTCCTTATTTTGGAGCACCACCTGAATGCACCATCTACTGTCAAACATAAAGTACAGTGAAGGAGAAGGAAGCAGCAACAGTTCAACTAGCTGAGTTTTAAAACATGAAGGGAGTCGGCTTTGTGTTTAAAATGTATTTGGTCGCAGTTTGCATCCTGCTCAGGACGGGACTGATGGTGAACAGCGGTAAGTTAAGAGTTTTCTGAGGTGTTAATGTGAAGCATGAGAAGGTAAAAATAGGAAAATAATTGATTTTAGAAATTAATTTCCACCCAGCTGACACGCCTAAGATACTAAGCAATGACATCAAGTCGAAATATGAGAAATTAGATGAATATGTTTGATGCAGACTTGCATACAGATCGTATCTTCACTGTATATATAAAAAATATGTTAAAAAAATTATTCAATCATTAAAATGAACTACTGGTTTTCTCCCAATAAGTTATAAATTTCAACATGATGCTGTAAATAAAAACCTGCGCCGATGCCTCGCGGACATATTGATGAGCGTGAATCATATTTCAAACTTGAGGCTATAAAACACAGATTGATCAGCTAATCCACTGTAAAAGAAATGACAATTTTGTTTGTTTGCTTTGTTTGTCATCCATTTATTAACTAAATGTGAACCACGTTATTCTGGGAAATACTTGAAGTCAAACCCTGTGAGTTACCAGTAACAGTTAAGTGTGAAACTGCCAAATTTCTGCAAACAGGATCTGTGAGAGATGAAGACAGATTGTCAAGAGAGATCATTATCAGCGGACTTTGCTTTAGTAAATGTGAAACGTTGAGTTCAGAAAATGTCAAAAAGAAAAAAACGAAATAAGCCCATCACACGTTGCCAGAGCCCAAAATTATGTCCTAAAGATGTTGATTTAATCTGATGAATTCACTGTAAAATAAAACTCAAAATCAAGCGTTCTCCAAAGTAAGGAATCGTCATCATTAAATCTATGTTTCAGTGTTACTAAATAAATTTAAAACACAGCACAAAACTGAACCTTGACTCAAATATGCCACAACTTCACACTTTGTTGGGGGACAGGAAGGAAGCAGTTTAACTTAGTGGGCATATTTTTTTTACTATCTGATCTGGAGGAAGTCAGAATGAGAATACAGAAAAAAAAAAAAAGAATCTACATTTGATTAATTTTACTTTCTTTTCTCCTGGTTAAAGTAGCTTGATAGAAAAATAAATAAATAAATAAAATAAAGTAGCTTGACAGAGCTCAGCTGTAACATTGTCACTTATAGATATACTTCTCTTCAGTGGTGGACTGTAACAAATTTCAATTACTCACATTACTGTAATTGAGTAGTTTATTTGTGTATTTGTACTTTTTGGAATAGTTTTTTAAATCTGTAATTTTACGTAAAGGTTCAGTGTGTACATTTTAGTGAAATCTAGTAGTTAGGGTTGCAAATTGCACCCTCCCTCTCCCCTACCAAATAGCTACGGTGCCTGAGACAGGACAAAGATGTCATCTATGAGATAAGAGATTGACAGTCAAGAAATGAGGTTTCTTTAGATAGATGTGTTAAATTATAGAAATTATGTAAAACCAAATGTTTATTGAATATTATTGTTACTTTTTCATTAATAAACAACAGCCACATGAAGAAATGAAGAGTTACATGATTTCTCATGCTCCTGTAATACATTATTTTACAACTTGGGAGGGTTGGCTCATTTGGACTAACATACCAAAGAAAATGAAGAAATTAAACACTGTCACATCTAGTGCATCAAGTATGACCACTGACAGATACCAGGACAATGTAAGCCTCACTGTTTCTGCACCACAGTCCATTATTAACCACATAATACATGAAGATTACAAAGTGTACAAGTGCAAGAGAACAGCAGCTTTATCACAGTGTTCACACTCATATAAGCTAATAAAAAGGTTCATTTTGCGAAAGTTAATAATATATAATATGTAAATTAAAAATGTTTTTGAAAGTCCAGCCCCCACAGTGTCTGCTCAGAAAAAAATCACCTAATGTAGAGGTTATATAATACTTGTAGCATTCAGTTAAAAGTAAGTTTTATACTTTGGTAAGGTGCTTTGCTCAAATTAGCCTAAAAGACAGGCACATGACAGCATAGGTGTCATTTACACTGGGGACGCTGGGGACATGTCCCTACCATATTTTGAAATAGCTGATTTTGTCCCCATCACTCCCAAGAGATTTGTTAGAAATGTTCTGAAAAATAGATTGCACCAAGTAATGTTCACTAATAAATGAAAATGCTTTCAGAAAGGTTACCTTGTACAACAAGAAAACATGCAATGCAATTTAAATATAGAAGAAACAAATGTGCATTGTCCAAAAAAATTAACTTAAGCTAAAAAAAAATGTTTTTCTAAATAAAGCTATTTCCACCATAATTTGGAGCAGAAAATGTCTCCAGAATGCGGGAAATTAAGTCTTTAATGCTCAAAATCTTCTGGGGGAGGACCCCACCGAGCCATTGATATGGCAAAGTGACAAACTAAAATCAAAAGCACAATGTGGCTTATATAACAAGCAGTCCTATAATAAGTATAAATAAGATATTAAATCAATATAAATATGTTATTTTTGGAGGTTAAAAGAGTGACTTTTACTCTAAGTACATTTTAAATGAGCTACTTTTTACCTTTCACAAGTAATTTTACTTTTACTTAAGTAAAAGTTCATCAACGTAACAGTACTTTTACTTAAGTAGAATATTTCTGTACTCTTTCCACCTCTCGTTCTCTTTCTGTTAATTCCAAACAAACAAAAAAAAAAACTAAACCGGGCCTAATAGAATATCTGTCTGTCTGTGTGACTCTCAGAGACACATTCCCTCTTTTACACCTACACGGCTCTCTCCAAACCTGTCGGACTCCCGGGCATCCACCAGTTCACAGCCATGGGTCACCTGGACGGCAGGATGATCGACTACTTCGACAGTGATCACCAGCAGAAAGTTCCCAAACAGGACTGGATGAAAGAGAGACTGCCTGCAGATTACTGGGAGAAAGGAACACAGTCCTGCCTGAAAAAGCAGCAGTGGTTCAACGTCAACATCGACATCCTGAAGAAACGAATGGGACAAAATGACTCAGGTAAGATCCATGAAACGAGAAGGGCAGCAACAACGTTTTGATGAAGACCATGAAATCAACGGCTATAATAGAACACTGACTCTTTCATGTTTAACCAGAAACCCACAAAAATTCAAATCTGACCCAGCTCATCGTGTTTGTCTGTCATTACCTCCGGTTTCAGATGTCCATGTTTTTCAGTGGATGCACGGCTGTGAGGGCGACACGCAGCCTGACGGCACGATTAGGTTCCACCGCGGCATAGACAAGTACGGCTACGATGGAAACGACTTCCTGTCCTTTGACGACGCCAACCAAGTCTGGGTTGCTTTGACTGACGTGGCCATCCCGACCAAGAGGAAGTGGGATGATGTCCAGGTCCTAAAAGAATACACCAAAGGCTACCTGCAGAATGAGTGCATGGAGTGGTTGAGGAAGTTCGTGGACTATGGGCGAATGCAGCTTCAAAATGCCAGTAAGTTTTCTCGAAGATAATGACCTGGGCCCTGAGCGTTTCTACACTAAACACTCTTAAATGTTTACAAGTTTCCTAAAGCAGCCGGCTTACTGTGCATGTGCACACCGGAAACCATCATGAGCTAACCCTAGCCTCTTTGTTCTTACTCTTGGGACAGCCAGTAGGTTAGTCCTAAAGGTTCTCGGGGGTTCGTATTGGCACAAGCATATCAGCACATCATGTATTGCTCCAGTGTTCGGTTCTACTGGACGAAACAATTTTTTGGACTAAATTACTTATTTATTTATGTAAATAAATAAGTTATGTTAAATAATTAACTGTTGTCTGTTAACTGTCCTAAATCTAACCAAACGGGGCCTGGGTTGTACATTTCTGTTTGGCCACCAGCAAATAATAACTTTACTTTTTTCTGTCCAGCTCCACCTGAAGTCTACGTGTTCACAAAGAGCACAACAGTTGAGAGAAAGGTCATGTTGACGTGCCTGGCCACAGGTTTCTACCCAAAAGACGTCATCCTGAATATCAAAAGAAACGGCCGTGTTCTAACTCAAGGGGACGGAGTGGTTACCTCGGGCGTTCGACCAAATGAAGACGACACCTTCCAGAGAAGAGACAGTGTGGAGATTTTAAGGAGGGACACGTCTACATTCACCTGTGAAGTGAATCATCCTGCATCCAGGTTACATGTTGAGAAGGAATGGGGTAAGAAACTTTATGTAATTACAGTAGGGCTGTCCCGACTAAGGATTTACATAGTCGAATCACAATCGTCAACTCTTGCCTATAGTCGACTGATAGCCGGATCATGTGTGTTTGTGTGGCAGTGCGTGCGACGTGGGGGTTACACACGGTAACTCCGTTTTAATCTTAAGAAGCTGCAGTCTCTTTAAACCTTTAGTCTATTTAAAGCTTCTTTCTTTTCAAGTTTTTAGTTACAGCATTATATGTTGATATTTATATTTCAGTAGGCTGTATATTAACTTACTGGGAGAAAACTGGTAGTTCCATGTAAAATCAGGCGTTGAGCACCCCCATATCGCCAAAATGGAGAACATCCAAGCTGGCGCTGCGTATAGCTGCCTCAGTGTTTTGTTTTTGTGTTAACTCAGTGTTCAGTTTCAATTTTATTTATATAGCGCCAAATCACAACAACAGTTATCTCACAGCGCTTTTCATAAAAGAGCAGGTCTAGACCGTACTCTATGATGCTATTTACAGAAGCCCAACAGTTCCCACCAAGAGCAGCACTAGGCGACAGAGGCAAGGAAAAACTTCCTTTTAAGAGGCAGAAACCTCGAGCAGAACCATGACTCAGGGTGGGCGGCCATCTGCCTCGACCGGTTGGGGTGAAGGAGAGAGAGAGAGAGAGAGAGAGAGAGAGCCTTCACAATATACAGACAGTAAAGGTGATGTTGCTATAGACTGAATGAAAAATGGTGTAGATATTTATAGTAGTGTTGATGATAATAATCGTAATGTTAATGATTATAATAACAATAATAACAGTAGGACTAGCAACAATGGTCGCTGCAGGAGAGGGTGTCGAGCAGGAACACGGGGGCAGCAGGTGACCCGCAACCACAGATCCAGAGCCAGAAAACCTGCAGGAAGTGATAGGAGGAGAGAGGAGAGGGACGAGAAAGCACAAGACTACCGGAAAGGGGAGAAGTTGAGTTAGTAACATACATTAATGGGATGAGGTTGCGTAGAGAGGGAGAGAAAGTAGAGGAGAGAGGAGCTCAGTGCATCATGGGAAATCCCCCGGCAGTCTAGGTCTATAGCAGCATAACTAAGGGATGGTTCAAGACTCACCTGAGCCAGCCCTAACTATAAGCTTTATCAAAGAGGAAAGTCTTAAGCCTACTCTTAAATGTGGAGATGGTGTCTGCCTCCTGAACCCAAACTGGAACCTGGTTCCACAGGAGAGGAGCCTGAAAGCTTCCTGGTTCCTGTCAGAACACGTGCTGCAGCATTCTGGACCAGCTGAAGAGTCTTAATGGACTATTTCGAGTAGCCTGATAATAAAGAACTGCAGTAATCCAGACTAGAAGTAACAAATGCATGTGTTTTTCTAGTTTTTCTGCATCATTTTTAGACAGGATGTTCCTGATTTTCACAATATTACGTAGGTGAAAAAAGGCGGTCCTTGAAATTTGCTTAATGTGAGACTTAAACGACATGTCCTGATCAAATATAACTCCAAGATTCCTCACAGTGGTGCTGGAGGCCAGGGCGATGCCATCAAAAAACTATATCTTTAGATAATGCGTCACAGAGGTGCTTCGGCCCCAGAACAATAACTTCAGTTTTATCTGAGTTTAACATTAGAAAATTACAGGTTATCCAGGTTTTAAAATCCTGAAGGCACATTTGAAGTTTAGCTAACTGATGAGTTTAATCTGGCTTGATCGATAGATATAACTTAGTATCATCTGCATAACAATGAAAGTTTATGGAATATTTCCTGATAATATTGCCTAAAGGAAGCATATATAAAGTGAAGAGGATTGGTCCGAGGACAGATCCTTGAGGAACTCCATAACTAACTTTGGCGTGCATGGAGGACTCATCGTTAACAGGTACAAACTGAAATCAATCTGATAAATAGGACTTAAACCAGCTTAGAGCGGTTCATTTAATGCCAATGAAAAGTTCCAGTCTCTGCAATAGGATCTGATGGTCAATGGTATCAAATGCAGCACTAAGATCTAATAAAACCAGTACAGAGACAAGTCCTTTGTCTGATGCAATAAGGAGGTCGTTAGTAATTTTCACCAGTGCTGTCTCTGTGCTATGATGAGCTCTAAATCCTGACTGAAAATCCTCAAATAAACTATTGCTCTGTAGAAAGTCACACAGCTGTTTAGCAACTGCTTTCTCCAGAACCTTAGAAAGAAATGGAAGGTTAGATATAGGTCTATAGTTTGCTAAAACATCCGGATCAAGTTTGGGCTTTTTCAGAAGAGGTTTAATTACAGCTACTTTAAAGTACTGTGGTACATAGCCTGTTGATAGAGATAGATTGATCATATCTAGTATAGAGGTGCTGACTAAGGGTAAAACATCTTTAAGCAGCCTAGTCGGGATGGGGTCTAAGAGGCAGGTTGATGGTTTGTATGAAGAAATTATTGAAGTTAGTTGGTAAAGATTGAGGGAAGCAAAACAGTCTAAACATATATCTGGTTCTACAGCTGTTTCTAAGGTTCCTGAGTTAAGAGATAAGTCTGTGCCAATTGAGGGCAGGTCTTGGTGAATTTTGTCTCTAATAGCTAGAATTTTATCATTAAAGAAGCTCATGAAGTCGTAACTAGACATCTTGTATAGAAATTTTTGCCCAATGGCGTGTAGTTCAGCAATACAAACTCAAAAGTTATCAAACAGTGGTTGGATAAAGAGGGATTCTGTGGGAACACCACTAAATGTTCAATTTCAATACCATACACCAAAACAAGGTCGAGGGTGTGGTTAAAACAGTGAGTCGGTTCATGAACACTCTGAGAGAAGCCAATGGAATCTAACAGAGAGATAAACGCAGTACTAAAGCTGTTATTCTCAACGTCCACATGAATATTAAAATCCCCTACAATAATAACTTTGTCCATTTTAAGGATTAAAGTTGACAAAAACTCAGCAAATTCAGATAAGAATTCAGAGTACGGACCAGGTGCTCAGTACACTATAATGAAGAGAATTGGTTGCAGTGATTTCCAACTTGGGTGAAAGACCAAGAACAAGACTTTCAAATGAGTTATAGTTTAGTTTAGGTTTAGAGCTGATTAGTAGGCTAGAGTCTAGCTACAACTCCGTCTCCTCGGCCTGTGCCTTGTGGAATGTGAGTATTAATATGACTGGGAGGGGTGGATTCATTTAGGCTAACATATTCTCCATCACCCAGCCAGGTTTCAGTAAGACAAAATAAATATTAGTTAATTTACTAGTACACCTTTAGAAGAGAGAGATCTGATGTTTAAGAGTCCACATTTAATTTTCCTATATTTTGCACTGTTGCTCTTGTGGTTTTAATTTGAGGTTTTTATGCACAGCTCCTCTTCTGTTTACCTTTGATTTAAATAATTTCGATTGTCGGGGGGGCAGACACCGTCACTATAGGGTTTTCACTAAGTAACTCCTGGAATGGAGGAGCAGAGAAGTGTGTTAGACTGCGACTCTGCGTAGGGTTTTGGGTGGGTAACTGCTGAATTAGAAGGGCAGAGAAGTGTGTTAAACTGCGACTCTGCGTAGGGTTTTGGGTGGGTAACTGCTGAATTAGAAGGGCAGAGAAGTGTGTTCACTAATAAATTTGGCCAGATTTTGCTGGAAGAAAAATGTTGACAACATACAGACTGAGTGAACACAGCCTGGCCATAGAAAAGGTCGCCACAGACAGAGCTGGCTACCAAAAGAGGAGAGCCTCTGCTCCCAGTGTGACAGGGGACAGGTAGAGACAGAGCTGCACTTTCTAATCTCATGCCCCAAATATAAAACACTAAGACAAAAACACTTTGCAAACATTTCCCAAATATACCCCTAATTCGAATTCAAATCAAGCTGCAAAATATCTCCTCATGCCATGAAGTGAGGACAACCAGTGGAACCTCCGACTGATAAATAATTGTACAAATATTCAAATTATTATTATTTTGATCATTTGATATTTTAGTAATTGTATTGTTTTTACATTTGATACTGATTTCTGATTTTTTTTTTAATCAATAAATTATTTTTTTTACATTTTTTGTCTATTAATAAACACACACTTACTGTTTTATTTATTTTATTTAAATTTTTAATACATTTTATTTTTTTAACACACACACTTACTATTTTATTTATTTTTAATATATTTTTATTTCTTTAACACACATGCTTACTGTTTTATTTATTTTATTTTAATTTTTAATATATTTTTAATTTTTTAACACAAACACACATACGCTTTGATTAAATTACGCTTTAATTACTTGTTTAATGAAATGTATGGGGTTCATTGTTCTTATGTAGTTTGTATGATGCTTTGGCAATATTGTTGTTACACATTCGTGCCAATAAAGCTCATTTGAATTGAGTCCTTGGCTCAGCTTCAGCCCCTGTACACCATACCCCTCCCCCCCCCCAAATCATAATGTAAATGTAAAGCACAATGTGGCTTATATAACAAGCAGTATATAATAAATATAAATAAGATATTAAATCAATATAAATATGTTATTTTTGGAGGTTAAAAGAGTGACTTTTACTCTAAGTACATTTTAAATGAGCTACTTTTTACTTTTCACAAGTAATTTTACTTTTACTTAAGTAGAATATTTCTGTACTCTTTCCACCTCTCGTTCTCTTTCTGTTAATTCCAAACAAAAGAGAAATACCAAACACATCTCTGCCCCAGTAACTTGTATTTCTACTGCCAATAATAATCAATTTAAAACTAAACCACTCTGCCCACTGAGCCTAATGGATTATTTGCCTTGTCTAATAAATATCTGTCTGTCTGTGTGACTCTCAGAGAGACATTCCCTCTATTACACCTACACGGCTCTCTCCGAACCTGTCGGACTCCCGGGCATCCACCAGTTCACAGCCATGGGTCACCTGGACGGCAGGATGATCGACTACTTTGACAGCGAGCACCAGAAGAAAGTTCCCAAACAGGACTGGATGAAAGAGAGACTGCCTGCAGATTACTGGGAGAAAGGAACACAGTCCCGCCTGAAAAAGCAGCAGTGGTTCAACGTCAACATCGACATCCTGAAGAAACGAATGGGACAAAATGACTCAGGTAAGATCCATGAAACGAGAAGGGCAGCAACAACGTTTTGATGAAGACCATTAAATCAACAGCTATAATATGTTTATTATAGTTTCATGTTTAACCAGAAAACCACAAAAATTCAAATCTGACCCAGCTCATCGTGTTTGTCTGTCATTACCTCCGGTTTCAGACGTCCATGTTCTTCAGTGGATGCACGGCTGTGAGGGCGTTACGCAGCCTGACGGCACGATTAGGTTCCACCGCGGCATAGACAAGTACGGCTACGATGGAAACGACTTCCTGTCCTTTGACGACGCCAACCAAGTCTGGGTTGCTTCGACTGACGTGGCCGTCCCGACCAAGAGGAAGTGGGATGATGTCCAGGTCCTAAAAGAATACACCAAAGGCTACCTGCAGAATGAGTGCATGGAGTGGTTGAGGAAGTTCGTGGACTATGGGCGAATGCAGCTTCAAAATGCCAGTAAGTTTTCTCGAAGATAATGACCTGGGCCCTGAGCGTTTCTACACTAAACACTCTTAAATGTTTACAAGTTTCCTAAAGCAGCCGGCTTACTGTGCATGTGCACACCGGAAACCATCATGAGCTAACCCTAGCCTCTTTGTTCTTACTCTTGGGACAGCCAGTAGGTTAGTCCTAAAAGTTCTCGGGGGTTCGTATTGGCACAAGCATATCAGCACATCATGTATTGCTCCAGTGTTCGGTTCTACTGGACGAAACAATTTTTGGACGAAACAATTTTTTGGACTAAATTATTTACTTATGTAAGTTAAATAAATAAGTTATGTTACATAATTTACTGTTTTCCTAAACCTAACCAAACGGGGCCTGGGTTGTACATTTCTGTTACAAACAATAACTTTACTTTTTTCTGTCCAGCTCCATCTGAAGTCTACGTGTTCACAAAGAGCACAACAGTTGAGAGAAAGGTCACGTTGACGTGCCTGGCCACAGGTTTCTACCCAAAAGACGTCATCCTGAATATCAAAAGAAACGGCCGTGTTCTAACTCAAGGGGACGGAGTGGTTACCTCGGGCGTTCGACCAAATGAAGACGACACCTTCCAGAGAAGAGACAGTGTGGAGATTTTAAGGAGGGACACGTCTACATTCACCTGTGAAGTGAATCATCCTGCATCCAGGTTACATGTTGAGAAGGAATGGGGTAAGAAACTTTATGTAATTACAGTAGGGCTGTCCCGACTAAGGATTTACATAGTCGAATCACAATCGTCAACTCTTGCCTATAGTCGACTGATAGCCGGATCATGTGTGTTTGTGTGGCAGTGCGTGCGACGTGGGGGTTACACACGGTAACTCCACTTTAATCTTAAGAAGCTGCAGTCTCTTTAAACCTTTAGTCTATTTAAAGCTTCTTTCTTTTCAAGTTTTTAGTTACAGCATTATATGTTGATATTTACTTCAGTAGGCTGTATATTAACTTACTGGGAGAAAACTGGTAGTTCCATGTAAAATCAGGCGTTGAGCACCCCCATATCGCCAAAATGGAGAACATCCAAGCTGGCGCTGCGTATAGCTGCCTCGGTGTTTTGTTTTTGTGTTAACTCAGTTTTCGGTTGGGATTCCCGGAGCTCTTTCACCACAGAAGAGCTCATGAAAATCAGGGGAACAACTCGAGCAGATTTATTTTCCACTTTTCTCCCATCATCAGTGGAATTATTGGACATTTTGGTGAAGGGCCTTCTCAGCAGCATAGTTCTCCTGATCTAGAATATTTTATCATTAACTATAAACCGTTTTACTCCCCCTGAGTTTTCTTCATTCGCTCTGGTCGGTGTTTACATTCCGCTGCAGGCCAACGTGCACGATGCACAGCTCATACTGGCCGACCGGATACTGTGTGTGGAGCAGACGAACCCGGACTCCCTTGTTATTGTTCTTGGTGACTTTAACAAAGGAAACCTCAGCCATGAACTCCCCAAATAGAGACGGTGTCCAACCAGAGAGGGGAACACTTTGGATTACTGCTACACCACAGTTAGCAGTGCCTATCCCGCCGTCACATGCGCTCCACTGAGACACTCTGATAACGTGATGCTCCATCTGATTCCTGCATACAGGCAAAAGGGCGTTTCACATACAGGCTTGGCAAGGAGGTGCGAGAAGCTAAACAACTGTACTCAGAGACATTATAAAACCAGTTCTCTGCAAACGACGCCACTTCTGTCTGGAGGGGGTTCAGAGAGATCACAAACTACAAACCCAAAGCCCCCCACTCCACCAAGCCCAATGAGCTGAACCAGTTCCACTGCCGCTTTGAGAGTCAATCAGACACCATCCCCCATGACTCCTTGGTTCAGCTTCAGCCCCTGTACACCGGAGGGCCGACTTCACCCCCCTCTCTCCATCTCAGAGAGGGAAGTCAACAGACTATTCAGGAGGCAGAAACCCTGCAAAGCAGCTGGGCCGGACTCCATGGTGTTTCCCCATCCACCCTGAAGCACTGTGCTGATCAGCTGTTTTTAACATTTTTAACACCTCACTGGAGACAGCTCTACTTTCAATCCCAGACAGAAGAAGAAGACTGAAGAAGTTCAACCTGCCATAGTCAATGATGCTGCATTTCTACACCCCCATCATTGAGTCCATCCTCACCTCCTCCATCACCATCTGGTACGCTGCTGCCACTGCCAGGGACAAGGGCAGGCTGCAGCGCATCATTCGCTCGGCAGAGAAGATGATTGTCTGCTATCTTCCATCACTTCGCTTCCAGGACTCTGAGGCGAGGAGGAAAGATTGCAGCTGACAACTGTTTCAGACTCTCCCCTCTGGCAGGAGGCTGTGGTTCATCAGGACCAAAACCTCTCGCCACAAAAACAGCTTCTTCCCGTCTGCAGCCTCATTAACAAGACCCGGGTCCCCCACTGACACTCTGCAGATGTCTCTGCACGTGTAAATATGATTTCATTTCATATCTTGCACTAACCTGGCACATTGCACATATTTGTTGTCAATTGTTAATACAACCCCAATTCCAATGAAGTTGGGATGTTAAATAATGTAAATAAAACCAGAATACATTCATTTGCAAATCCTTTTCAACCTTTATTCAATTTAATACACCACAAAGACAAGATATTTAATGTTCAAACTGATAAACTTGTATTATGCAAATATTCCCTCACTTTGAATTTAATGCCTGCAACATGTTCCAAAGAAGCTGGGACAGGGGCAACAAAAGACTGGGAAAGTTGAGGAATGCTCAAAAAACACCTGTTTGGAAGATTCCACAGGTGAACAGGTTAATTGGAAACAGGTGAGTTTCATAATTGGGTATAAAAGGAGCATCCTCGAAAGGCTCAGTCATTCACAAGCGAGGACGGGGTGAGGTTCACCAATTTGTGAACAACTGCATGAGCAAATAGCCCAACAGTTTAAGAACAACGTTTCTCAACATACAGTTGCAAGGAATTTATGGATTTCATATCTACAGTCCATAATATCATCAAAACATTCAGAGAATCTGGAGAAATCTCTGCACATAAGCAGCAAGGCTGAAAACCAACATTGAATGCCCATGACTTTCGATCCCTCAGGCGGCACTGCATTAAAAACAAACATCAATGCGTAAAGGATATTACCACATGGGCTCAGGAACACTTCAGAAAACCATTGTCAGTTAACATAGTTCGTCGCTACATCAACAAGTGCAAGTTAAAACTCTACCATGCAAAGCGAAAGCCATATATCAACAACACCCAGAAAAGTAAAGTGGAAAAGGACTATCCGGATTGTTATCGGCGCAAAGTTCAAAAGCCAGCATCTGTGAAGGCACCATTAATGCTTGTCGTGTGACATGCGCAGTGACCTGGAGGGCAAAACAACAGACTAACATAGCGGATCACACCGCGACTCCCCACATAGACGCCACAAAAGCATTAAAATTTTATTTGGATCGCCTTTCAACCTAAGAAAGAAAGATATGAACACAAACTGCAAGTGTTGGGCACTTCCGATCCATATAACGTTAGGCTACAGCATCCGCTGCCGCATTTCTATCATTAAAAGCCGCCAGGTCCCTAGAATTTCTGCACAAACTGTCAGGAAACGTCTCAGGGAAGCTCATCTGCATACTCATCATTGGGGTCTCGACCTGACTGCAACTTCATCGTCGTAACAGACTTGAGTGGGCAAATGCTCACATTCGAAGGTGTCTGGCACTTTGGAGAGGTGTTCTCTTCACGGATGAATCCCGGTTTTCACTGTACAGGGCAGATGGCACAGGGCGTGTATGCCGTTGTGTGGGTGAACGGTTTGCTGATGTCAACGTTGTGGATCGAGTGGCCCATGGTGGCGGTGGGGTTATGGACAACAAACAAAAGTGCATTTTATTGATAGCATTTTGAATGCAGAGAGATACCATGACGAGAACCTGAGGCCCACTGTTATGCCAAGGACCACAATGGAAATAAGCTGTCTGGGTTTATTGTGTAGCTGGGGCATCTGTTGTTGGAGGTGCCACTTTTATATTTACAATCAATAAAGAAGCTCAATCAATCATTCATCCATGACCATCACCTCATTTTGCAACATGATGATGCACGGCCCCATGTTGCAAGGGTCTGTACACAATTCCTGGAAGCTGAAAACATCCCAGTTCGTGCTTGTTTGAGATGCTCTGGATCGGCATATATGATAGTGTGTTCCAGGTCCTGCCAATATCCAACAACTTCGCACAGCCATTTGAAGAGGAGTCAATAAACACACACACACACACACACAATACAGTCAACCTGCACATTTTCGAGTGGCCTTTTATTATGGCCAGCCTAAAGCAAACCTGTGCAATCCCCATGCTGTCTGATCAGAATCTTGATATGCCACACCTGTGAGGTGGATGGATTGTCTCAGCAAAGAAGAAGTGCTCACTAACACAGATTTTGACAGAATTGTGAACAATATTTGAAAGAAATGGGCCTTTTGTGTACAAAGAGAAAGTCTTAGATGTTCAGTGTATATTCAAGCTGGCTACACTGACATACACAAAAAACCCTTACACCTAATGAGGAAGTAGCAGCAGCTCAAGTGTTCCTTTGTTTAGGAAACTTTAAAAGAGCTACCAGAGCCCAAAATAATGTCAATGTACTTTACACTTTATGTGGTTAGTGATTAGTCACTTGTTAAAATTGTAATTAAATAAAAATAAATATTCACATTGTCAGTGCAGAAATTATTCATTTAATTGTCAGTCATCTGAATAAAAGCACGATTAATTTCATGCAGCACAAACAGATGTGTTTCTGAAACCTGAATGGAACCTGAGTAAAAAGCAGCAACAGTGTGTTCATTTGGAGCACCACCCAAATGCACCATGTACTGCATGTATAGGGATGAGATGAAGGAAGGAAGCAGCAACAGTTCAACTTGATGAGTTTTAAAAAACATTAAGGCAGTGAACTTTGTGTTTACAATGTATTTGGTTGCAGTTTCCATTCTCCTCGGGACGGGACTGATGGTGAACAGTGGTAAGTTGAGAGTTTTCTAACTTGTTAATGTGAAGTAGGAGAAGGTAAATATAGGAAATAATTGATTTTAGAAATGAATTTCCGACCAGTCCACATGCCTAAGATACTGCAACTAAGTGATGACATCAAGTGAAAATGCAAGTAATAAGATGCATATGTTTCATGTTTCTTGAGGCCATAAAATATTGTAGGATTGATCAGATAATCCGCTATAAAAAAAAGACAATTTTGTCAGTTTGTTGAAATCCATCTATTAACTAAACATGGAACTTATTATTCTGGGAAACACTTGAAGTCACACCCTGTGAGTAGCCAAACATCAAACACAAGTATGAAACTGCCATATTTCTGCAAACAGTATCTTTAGAGAGATAAGAGACACTGTCATCCAAAGATGGTTAAAGTCAAGGGCAACTGGACTTGGTTGAAGATACTGTAAGACGTTTCGTCCCTCATCCTGACTGACTGGTAGGGAAACTCAGCTATTTAACCTCAGTGGGGTTGTTTGCCAGGATCGTCAATACTGCTGGTTCGTTAGTGTTCCTGGCTGTTGTAAAGACAGTCGTTACAGTCGTTAGGACTACCCGAGGCCAAGACTGAACGACCATCGTTGGCATCCTCACCTAAGGCCAATAGATTACGTTTGTTGAGTTTCCTGGACGTAGACGCCCTCCTCTGTTCAACAATGGCCTTTCAGCCCGGGTGTAGATGGCTTCCTTGACACCTCTTTCAAACCATCCATCTTCTCTGTCTAAAATGTGCACCTAGTGGTCCTCAAACGAGTGTCCTCTGTCCTTCAGATGTAAGTAGACTGCAGAGTCTTGAACTGAGGAGTTGGCCCTTCTGTGTTGAGCCATGCATTTGTGTAGTGGTTGTTTAGTCTCCCCAATATACAGGTCTGTGCATTCCTCACTGCATTGGACCGCATACACTAGATTGCTTTTCTTATGTTTGGGTGTGCGGTCTTTGGGGTGGACCAGTATCTGTCTTGGCGTGTTCTTGGGTTTAAAAAAACACAGGGATGTTGTGTTTGTTGAAAATCCTCCAGACAAGTATGGAATCACAATGTTGTTGCGTTTGACCTTCTTCTCCTCATCCCCTGTAGTTTTGTTCTTCTTGGATCTTGTGGCTGTCTTCACAAAGGTCCATTTAGGGTATCCACAGGCTGTAAGTGCCCCCTTCAGGTGTTCAGTTCCTTCTCTCTGGCTTGGGTGCTTGTTGGTATGTTTTCCGCTCTGTGGTGCAGTGTTCTCATGACCCCTAGTTTGTGCTACAGTGGGTGGTGGGAATCGAAGAGTGGCTATTGGTCTGTGTGTGGGTTTTCTGTAAACACCAATTAGCAGGCTCCTGTCCTCTTCAATGTGTACAGCGCAGTCCAGGAAGGCCAAACAGTTGTTGAGGACATCTTCTCGTGTGAACTTGATGTTGCTTTCCAGAGTTGATGTGTTCTGTGAAGGCTTGCACTTTTAATTTTGACTTCTGGCTTTTAATTTTGACCCAGGTGTCCTCCACATTTCTGTACCAGTGGCTCGGTGCTGTTCCTCTGAACGAGTTGAGGGCTTTATTCTCCACTTCTTCCACGTAGATGTTCGCCCCAATCAGGGATACCGGTGAGCCCATGGCACAGCCATGCTTCTGTCTGTAGAATCCTCCATTGTACTGGAAATAGGTGGTGTTTAGACAGAGGTTGAGTAATTTGCAGATTTGGTCAGGGCTGAGGCTAGTTCTGTTGTCCAGGGTGTGGTCTTGTTGGCCGTTTCCTTACGGTTTCTACTGCTTCTATGGTGGGGATGTAGGTAAACAAAGAAGTCACGTCATAGGATACCATGGTTTCATCTGGGTCCAGTTTCAGTCCTCAAACTTTGTTTACAAAGTCAACGAAGTGTTGGATGTGGTGTGGCATGTTTCCCACCAAGGGAGCTAAGATGGTAGAAATGGGTTTGGCAATGTTGTAGGTGACCGAGTTGATGCTACTGATAATCGGCCTGAGTGGGGCTTCTTCTTGGTGTATCTTGGGTAGTCCATAAATACATGGAATGGCTTCTCCAGGATACAAATGGTAATATTGTTCACGGGAGATGGTGTTGTCTTTCTGTAGCTGTTGTAGACATTCTATTGGCTTTTTTCTTGTATCTGCTGGTTGGGTCTCGCCTCAGTGTCTCGTATGTGTTTGGGTCAATTAGTAGTGTGTTGACCTTGTTCTGGTAATCCGCTGTTTTAAGGACTACCATGCATCTTCCTTTGTCAGCAGGTAGGATAGTGATGTTTTGATCCTTGCTCAGTGATGTCACAGCTTTCCTTTCTTGGATGGTGAGGTTGGAAGGGGGAGCCTTCGCATTAGAAAGGGTTGCAGATACCTTTAGTCTGAGCTGTTCCGCTTCTGTTTCTGTTAATTTGTTTTTCCTAATGGCCGATTCTGTGGCTGTGATGAGGTCCACTATAGGTAGATACTGGACGATGCTGGCAAACGACCCCACTGAGGTTAAATAGCTTAGTTTCCCTACCAGTCAGTCAGAAGTCCTTTGGATGAGGGACAAAACATCTTCCAGTATCTTCAACCTAGTCCAGTTGCCGTTGACTTCAACCTTCTTTGGAGAACTATGACCTGGATGACTGAGAATCTTCACAAACAAGAGACATTGTCAAGCTTGTTTAGTCAGTTGACCTCCTGATATTTGTTTCATGTTAAAAAGAGAAACTACATAAGCCCATCACACGTTACCAGAGCCCAAAATTATGTCCTACAACTGTGGATTTAATCTGATCAACAGTGGAAAAACATAGTACTGCTAATTATAATCAATTTAAAACTAAACCACGCTTCCCAAAGGGTTGAATGAATTATCTGACTTGTCTAATAAATATCTGTCTGTCTGTGTGACTCTCAGAGAGACATTCCCTTTATTACATCTACACGGCTTTCTCCAAACCTGTCGGACTCCCGGGCATCCACCAGTTCACAGCCATGGGTCTGCTGGACGGCAGGATGATCGACTACTTCGACAGCGAGCACCAGCAGAAAGTTCCCAAACAGGACTGGATGAAAGAGAGACTGCCTGCAGATTACTGGAACAAAGGGACACAGTCCCGCCTGAGCAAACAGCAGTGGTTCAACGTCAACATCGACATCCTGATGAAACGCATGAGACAGAATGACTCAGGTAAGATCCATGAAACAAGGACTGCGACCATTTTTTGATGAAGGACATGAAACCAACAACTGTAATAACTTTACAGATAAATGCTTTAGCAAAAATAAAACAAGGGCTCTTTCATGTTTAACCAGAAAATCATAAATATTCAAATTTGTCTGATCATCCTCTCTGGCTTTGTATTTATCCATTCATCTCACTGTCCTAGCATAACTTTTGGTTTCAGACATCCATGTTCTTCAGTGGATGCACGGCTGTGAGGGCGACAAGCAGCCTTACGGCACGATTAGGTTCCACCGCGGCGTGGACATGTACAGCTACGATGGAAACGACTTCCTGTCCTTTGACGACGCCAACCAAGTCTGGGTCGCCCCAACTGAAGCGGCCGTCCCGACCAAGAGGAAGTGGGATGATGTCCAGGTCCTAAAAGAATACACCATGGGCTATCTGGAGAACGAGTGCATGGAGTGGATGAGGAAGTTTGTGGACTATGGGCAAATGCAGCTTCAAAATGCCAGTAAGTTTTCTAGAAAATAATGATCTGGGCCCTGTTTCCTGATAACAGTTGATTTCAGAGCGTTTTCAAAGAGTATTTCTACTAACACTCTTACATTTATTTTTTAATGTTTCCCAAAGCATGTGCATGAGCTCACCACAAACTGCTAGAGCTAACGCTAGCCCTTTGTTCCTACTCTTGATACAGACAGTAAGCTATTCCTAAGGGTTCTCAGGGGTTCGTACGGCACAAGCATATCAGAGAAATATTTTGGCCAGAGCCACAGAGTGATTTGTAGACGAGAATTCAATCCTCTCAGTGACTTATAGCCAGAGTGAGGATTTTAAAACTGGTGTAATGTGGTCGTATTTCCTGGTTTTCGTCAGGACCCATGCAGCAGGGCTCTGATCTTTGCATCCTGTTGTGAGTGTGCAACTTTGCATGTGCTCTTGTGTGTCTGCAAGGTGTGTTTGCATTCAGTTCAAGTATGAAGAGGTTAATAAAGTCACTTAAGGGCGGGTTCACACTTAAAGGTCCAGGTTCTGTATCGAACCAGCGTGAGGATGATACATGGTTTAAATTTTCCAACTGGTCAGGTCTGCATCACAAAGGCAAAACTCAAATGGTCAAGAAATTGTAAACAAAAGCCATGTGGTGAAAATGGTATTTGATTACTGGTCATACAGTCGGTGGGTAAAAAGCACAAACCCTTCCAAATACTTACATATTACAGTGCTTTGACGTACTGTTGACTAAGGCTGGACGATTGAGTAATCTTAACCGAAATTCGTTTTTTAAATCCTATTACTATTTTAACTAAAGGTACCCTTCAGCATCCGTATGAAACGTCACCGTTTGCTACGTCCCAGCAACACAAAGGAGGCTCATGGGCGATGTGCACAGCTGGCTTCAGGGGGCTGTCAACGCCTTTAACAGCTCGCTAGCACTAGATAGCTAGTACTTCTGGTCTGTTCCGGTCTGTCTCATAGAGACCCGACGTGTTTCTGAGACGCTGAAGGGTACCTTTGGCATCAAATAACTACGTTTTGTTTTGTTCTGGTGTTGGATGCTCTGAGATGAGAACGGTCTGGTATCATCATGAAAGTTTCAGCCAGAAGAGATGAAGACAGACGACAAGAATTGAGAATACGATAAAAGAAACTCAAATAACTAAAATAATAACATGTAGTTTGAGGCTTGTTCAGGAGCTTCTTCTAGGGAGTAGAAAGCTCCCTTTTTTTTCACCATCATAGCCTTAAAACTGGGAAACGGGGTCTGGGTTGTACATTTAAGCAATAGCTCACGACAGGCCGTGGTATACGCTTATTACATCACAGTTGAGGGGCGTTGTTCGGCGCATTTTATAAAATGGTTACCAAGTATGGCAAAAAGAACATAGGCTAACACACTACAATTTGACTTTGTTTTATTTCATCAATAGACATTTCTTTATGAATACACAAAGTGGTGTTACTTTCTAACGTTACTTTGTCGCGGAGTGATACGGATCTGTTTGGCCACCAGCAAATAATAACTTTTTTTCTGTCCAGCTCCACCTGAAGTCTACGTGTTCACAAAGAGCACACCAGTTGAGACAAAGGTCATGTTGACATGCCTGGCCACAGGTTTCTACCCAAAAGACGTCATCCTGAATATCAAAAGAAACGGCCGTGTTCTAACTAAAGAGGACGGAGTGGTTACCTTTGGCGTTCGCCCAAATGAAGACGACACCTTCCAGAGAAGAGACAGTGTGGACATTTTAAGGAATGACACGTCTACATTCACCTGTGAAGTGAAACACCCTGCATCCAAGTTGCATGTTCAGAAGGAATGGGGTAAGAAACTTTATGTAACTATAGTTGGTCTTTTGTAGTTTTTTCATTTGGACAGTTTTTCATAAAGTTTTTCTTGCATAACACAGTCATGTTAGTAAAGTTCCACATCCACACCTGGGATTGTTTCTGATCACAAACTAGAAGAATCTTTGGGTATTTCAGTATTTAAGGGTGGAGTTTTTGACCATTAGTAGCAGCACGGGGCCGTGTTTTGTTTCACTACATCAATCTCTTTGCTTTTGCTGTTGTGAATTTCTTACTTTTTTAACAGCCAGATGTTTTTCTCCTCCCAAGCACGTATTACAGATTTCATTTTTTAGGAGATCATAATTATCACCATGTGAATATTGTACTGACTTACATCAACACTGTAGTAGATTGAAAGTAACAAATATTAGTGCTGCTGAAAGCGATTTGAAATTTAATACTAAAGTTGAATGTCTTGTTTTGTGTTTTAGCTCAAGAGCCTCCCAGCACTGCAGGTATTGCTGTAGTGGTTACTTTTGTTCCGTTTGTGGGGGTGAGTGTGATCGTGGGAACGCTTCTAGTGGTCTTTAGCAAGAGATGCGTTACCGGTAAGTACAATACATCACCAACGATTGCCTTAACCAGGCCGATACTGTTTTTTTATTTTATTTGTTTTGATAACATGAAAAAATGGATGTCGTCATTTAAAGGTTCAGTCAGTGTAGGTTTTAGTGGCATCTAGTGGTGAGGGTTGTGAATTGCAACCAATGGCTCAGTCACCGCTCAGTCCTCCCTTTGCAAACTAGAAGGAGAAGCTATGGTTTTCGACACGCTCTGTTGGCTCTAAATAATAGGTGTTCCTCCATTTGTCCAAATTTCTCTTCTTACGTCTAATAAACCAGACGACTACTTTTTCTTCCCTTTTGTACTTCTATAGCTCTGTAGAGCATTGTGTCCGTTTGGGCTACTGTAGAAACATGGCGGCGCAACATGGCGGCGTCTATGTAAGAGGACCGGCGGTGTATATAGATAGAAATGTCTCATTCTAAAGTAATAGAAACATAACGGTTCATTATGTAAAGTGTTATACACCACTGAAAACATAGTTATGTTTATTATATTGCATTTCTGTCATTAGATCCTCCTAAATGTTACACACTGGACCTTTAATAGTGCTGAAAGTTTTGGGAATCATAATTCAATTATTTTGACAGATATTAGTGGGTTTTTCAACAGTGTATGTTTTAAAAGTAGTGTAAAGCCTTTAGTTACTCAGAGGGAGCTGGATGAAATCTGATAAAAGTGATGTCTGCTGCTGATTTTGATCATTTAAAAAAAAAATCCCTTTTCTGTTTTCTGCTGGGTCTACAGATGGTGACTCTTGTAAGTATCTCTGTTGCTCGATATCATTCTGCAGCAAACCCAGCACTAATAAATGTTTGAAAGACTTAATAATATTAATAACTAATTTACTTTAGTACGTTAGCCATACATAATCTTTTTAATATTTATCCCTGCAGCCAACAACCCTGCTGCCGCCGACAGTCTTGTGTATGAGAATGAGGAAGACGCAGTGTGAAGTTCCTGCAAACAACATCCTTCCCATCAGCATGTTAGCATTGTCAGTGTGAGCATTTGAGTATGCTAATGTTAGCATTTAGCTCAAAGCTGAGTGCAGCCTCACAGAGCTGCTAAAGTGGATGGAGTCTCACATGTGAGACATCATTTTTGAGACACCTGTGCAGAACTCTGTAGTTTGGAAAACAAGTGGACCACTTGCAGCCCCAATGAAATCAGAAAATATTCTTCTTTGGTGTCTTTTTAAGCTGAACCACAAAGTCGTTATTATATCAAAGAGTTGTTAGAGTTTGGATCATGTGGGTAAGCAAATGTTTATCAGGTTAAAATCTTGCAACAGCTCAAATAGAGGAGGCTTCTATGAACAGGCTGTAAAATATAAATACACATTTAGGGGGTTGATAAGGGTTAGTGGGTTAAAGGTAACCGGGATTAAAAGGAAGTGAATGAATTTATACTAGTTCCTCCTCCTGGTTGTGGATGGTTCCTCTGCTGTGTACAGATGTAGATTTAATCAGATCCGGGGTGCCGCTGTGCCAATATGTGCTCCTTCTGGCCGCCTCCTCCTGAGAGCAACACTCTCCCTTTGTAGTTTTCTGTGACGAGTGTTTTAAAAAGCTGTTTTCCTTGATACCTTTCCTTCAAGTAGACTAATGATACTATTTGTTACCATTATATCACAATATTGTCTACAATAATCGCAATATGACTTTTTCAATATGAGATTAATGTAAAGGATTCTGATGATGTTTTTACCGATTAGGTTTCTTACTGGTAACCAGTGCTTGTTCCTGCACATAATGGACTTTCATACACTTGTTTTCGTATTATATAAATATGCATCTGTGTGTTCTTTGCTGTCTTATGCAGATTTTGTATTTTTACATGTTTGTTTGAATTGCTACTTTTTGGGTTCTTGAACAATATAGACACAGACCTACATGTAATCAAACCTGAGCGTTTTCTAATGTAACGGGATGTTAAATAAAGTAAAAAATAATGAAATTGCGTCCTGCAGTAGAGATTTACCAGCTTTGTGAGGAAGAAATCTAATTGTGGCAGCAGTTAGCGGGCTCTCCTGCAACTGTCCTGAACCAGCAGGAACCTCTGAAAGGTTAACCTACGTTCTTTCTAAAGGCCAGCAGGTTGTGAAAAGAAGCTCGATCGCATTGAAGTTAATGACACAATGTGTCTTCATCTCAGCTGATTTATTACCTTAGCAAACAATTTCCGATGAGTTCATAGTCTCAGTCGCTAGTTTTCTAACACAGCATGATGTTCATTTAGTAAATTATGGTCCCATTTAGAGGAAAATAGACGATAAAGTAGGGGATACTTTAGGGCAACCTGTCAATCAGGATAGAGGCAAATTGTATCTGCTGTCCTGTGTACATATAACTAGCTGTGAAGTTTTGGGGTGTTTGCGACACAGAAGACCTTTGACCCTGTCACAGTGTGTTTTCAGTTCATGAAAGTTAACTGGAATTTTTTGGTTACCTAAAAATGTCTTGTTCAGCGTTTGTTGTACTAAAAGACACTCTAAGGTGTCGCCTGTTAAAACCTTGCTTAAAAAACACTGATAAAAACACCAGATCGTTCACCTAAAGAAATATTGAGAGATTAAATGCAAATGAATGCAAAAATAATGTCATGGGGATGTTACTTATAGCCACAGTCTTATATACCTTGACAATTGTTAACATTCATAAACTTTGATATCACAAACAGCAGCGGGTGCTGTGGCATGTCCTCGGCATCTCTTCTGCAGAAGGCAGGTCAGTGTGAAGTCAGTGACGCCACCACTGCTGGCAATATTATTATATAATTAGGATTTGGGGTATATCTGAAATGTTGTCAGTTCTAATATTTACACACTCTTTTTTTCCTTTAAATGACAAGACTAAAATACCTTGTTAATTTAATAGCTTTGTTTCACCAAACTATCTTGCAAAAGTTAAAATGGTGCATCTCTTCACAGCAGGGTTATATTTCCTATTTTTATCCTAACTATACTCCTTATTCTGATCTTTTGAATGTAGTTTATACGTCTTATTATAACACTGGCAGGGGGTTAAGAAATATTTTGAAGCATAAAGCTATATTCAAGTTGGCTAAGCAGCACAAAACTCGTTGGTATAAGATTATTGAAATCTTAGTGAGGTAATGATCTGTGGCTGGCACATGGATCTGAACACACTGCTGGTGTTGTGGCTCTAAAACATTTTTATCAAGTTACTGGCATTGACAACTTCACCTTCATGGCAATAACTTAATCACTGACCATGAAAATCTTTTTGAAACATTAAGAAAATCAAATTCAACACACTATAACTTTCCAAATTTTGGAATAGCAACATGACGGTGCTTCAACATGATATTAGATCATAATATGGATTATTGGCCCCCACTTTATTTAACAGTTCTAATATAAATGCTTTAGGCTATTTGTGCAGAAGCACCACCAGTCAGGTTTATACTTTTGAGTAAAAAACGAAAGATGTCATATAATGTAGTCTCCATCTTTATCCCTTTACACTCTGCCCACACTACTAAATGCAGAAGCACTAACTGGAAGCTTAAGTTTGCTTTTGCTACACAAAAAAATAAAATTAGACATTGAACAACTAATAATGCAATTTTGGAACAAAGCACAATTTGAAAATGTATTTTGCAGCTTTTGGAAATTATTAATATTCGGTGCAAGACAGAGAAATTATGGTAGCAAGCCGCTTGAAGGGGGGTGCAGAGGGTGCTATTGACAGGGAGGAACACAGAGTTCAAATTACATGTGCAGACTAGGGGATGTTTTAGGGCGGGGCAAGTTGCTACCACGCCGACCTGTCAATCAGGTTAGAGGCGACTCGAATCCGCTGCTCTGTGTACATTTAACCAGCCGTGAGCTTATTTTTGGATACTGTCTGTGTTTTCGTTGAAGAGCTTTAACCCTCTGTAACATTTTGGTCGCCTGCAAATGTCTTGTTCAGCGTTCTGTTGTACTAAAAATCCTAAAGAGTCGGCGTTTAAATTTTTTTCCAGTAACCATATTTGTTTTAAGCCTGTTTTTCACTGAAAAAATTAGCATCCTGTCGCAGTTGACATTAATAATGGATGCTTACCAAGCTAGCTAGCTCCTCCCTCTCTTCCAAATATGGTCACTTCTGGTTCATCAAATTTTCATTTTCATTTTCACTTTAATATTGTCCGCCGTAGGCCTCCAATAGTAGTCATTAGGATTTTGAATATCTGCACCAAATTATAGAGTTTCACCACCACACAATGAATCATTCAAACATTCAAAGGATGGGACACAAAGGCACCGTCTCTCCTTAAAGCCAGTCGTGGTTTTGCACTCAGTTGTTCACATGACAAGTGACAGAAATTGTTGTGAGGAGAATGAAGAAATTAAGCTTGAGAGAGAAAATTAAATCCTGCCAAGTGTTAAATCTCTTAACAGCTGACCAATCACTTTGTAAAGTGGAAGAGTCAGACGGTGAAGGTGAAATTAAGGGAACAACAAATCACAACAAAACCACACACATAATGACGAAGTGCAGTAGCTGTGCGTTCAAGTGTCCAGTTAAAAAAACTTTAGAAGAGCTACCAGAGCCCAAAGGTCTTTAAAGAATGTTTTTAATTTGCAGATTTATTTTGACCACCAGCTGAAAATAACAAAGTTATTCAGTTTACATTAATATGAAACAGAAAAGAAAAGCAGTCCTCACATATGAGAGGCTGTAACCAGCAAATGTCTGGTGTTTTATGGGATTAGTGATCAGTCAGTTGTTAAAACTGTCATAACTAAATTAATTATGACAATATTATTATTTATTTCAGTGCCTCAGTCATCTGATTAAAAGCATGACTAATTCATGCAGCATGAAAAGTGTTTAATTTGCCTTTCTGAAACCTGGATGTGACTAAAAAGCAGCAACAGTCCTTATTTTGGAGCATCACCTGAATGCACCATCTGCTGTCAAACATAAAGTGAAGTGAAGGAGAAGGAAGCAGCAACAGAGTGAAACACAGTTCAACTAGCGGAGATTAAAAATATGAAGGCAGTCAACTTTGTGTTAACAATGTATTTGGTTGCGTCCTGCTCGAAGACGGGACTGATGGTGAACAGCGGTGAGTTCAGAGTTTTCTGACGTATTAATGTGAAGCAGGAGAAGGTAAAAATAAGAAATAAATTTATACTGTTTTTAAAAATTGATTTGAGTTTTAATTTTCCACCCAGCCCACATGTGTAAGACACTGCAAGTGATGACAGCAAGTGGAAATTCAAAATACAGATCCTATATTCACTGTTTATATAAGAAGAAATATTTTTTCTAAAAATAAATTATATATATAACTTTAAGCCATAATATACAGTAGGATTGATCATATTATACACTACAAGAAATTACCATTTTGTTTTGTTGGTCGAAATCCATCTATTAATTAAATATGGATCACATTATTCTGGGTGTGAAAGTGTGAAATCGCCATATTTCTGCAAACATGCACCTGTAGAGAGATAGTGCTGATCATAAAACAGACCGTTCCTCAAAAGTGAGGAGTCGTCATTGATTCAACGAAGATTAATAATTTAATAACTTCAATATGAACATAAACAGTTATGTGTCTGTGTTATTAAATAAAAGTAAAACTGACACTTTTGCAGAACAAAAACTGAACTTTGCATGTGACTCAAAATGCGCCACAACTTCTCAGTTTGGTTGGAGGCTTTAAAAAAGCAGCTTAACTAAGTAAAAAATTGTCTGATCTGGTGGAAGTCAGGATTTTCTTTTGTCCTGAGTAAATCAGTTAGACAGAGCTCAGGAGTAATGTTAATGTCACTTACAGATATAGTTCTTTTCTTTTCATTCCAAACAAACCAGAAATACCAAAAACTCGTCTCTGCCACAGTAACTTGTATTTCTACTGTTCATTATAATCACTTGAACATTTTTAAAACTAAACCACTCTCTCCACTGGGTCTAATGAATTATCTGCCTTGTCTAATAAATATCTGTCTGTCTGTGTGACTCTCAGAGACACATTCCCTCTATTACACCTACACGGCTCTTTCCAAACCTGTCGGACTCCCGGGCATCCACCAGTTCTCAGCCATGGGTCTGCTGGACGGCAGGATGATCGACTACTTCGACAGCGAGCACCAGAAGAAAGTTCCCAAACAGGACTGGATGAAAGAGAGACTGCCTGCAGATTACTGGGAGAAAGGAACACAGTCCCGCCTGAGCAAACAGCAGTGGTTCAACGTCAACCTCGACATCCTGAAGACACGAATGAGACAGAATGACTCAGGTAAGATCCATGAAAGGAGAAGGGCAGCAAGCTGGCACTTTTTGATGAAGGCCATGAAATGCTGGTAGAGTGATAAAAGCACTAGAAAAAATAAGCTTAACCAGAAAACCACAAAAATTCAAATCTGACCCATTACCTCCGGTTTCAGACGTCCATGTTCTTCAGTGGATGCACGGCTGTGAGGGCGACACGCAGCCTGACGGCACGATTAGGTTCCACCGCGGCATAGACAAGTACGGCTACGATGGAAACGACTTCCTGTCCTTTGACGACGTCAACCAAGTCTGGATTGCTTCGACTGACGTGGCCGTCCCGACTAAGAGGAAGTGGGATGGGGTCCAGGTCCTTAAAGAATACACCAAAGGCTACCTGGAGAACGAGTGCATGGAGTGGTTGAGGAAGTTCGTGGACTATGGGCGAATGCAGCTTCAAACTGCTGGTATATTTTCTCGAAGATAATTAACTGATAACAGTTGATTTCAGATCCTTTTCAATGAGCATTTCTACTAACTAATGTCAAATTTATTATGTTTCACCGCAAACCATTGTGAGCCCATTGTGTTCTTACTGTTGGGACAGCCAGTCTGAGGCTAGTCTGAAGGGTTCTCAGGGGTTCGTATAGCACAAGAATTTTAGGAAAATATTTTGGCCCGGAGCCACAGAGTCATTTTTAGACGAGAAGTCAATCCTGAGTCAGTGTGCGGATTGTAGAACTGGTATAATGTGGTGGGGTATTTCCTAGTTTTACCCTGGCAACAGTACTCTGAATAGGATGGATTTGCAATAGACCTTTGCATTAATCCGATATACTAGAATTTATGCATGGGTCAGCTTTTTTAGGTATAATATAAAAACGAATAATAATCCACAGTGTTAAAAGTGGCACTAAGATCCAACAATACTAAAACAGAAACTTTGCCTGAGTCAATGAACAGGCAAATGTCATTTAGCACCTTTATGAGTGCAGTCTTTGTGTTGTGTGGTGGGACAGAAATCCTGGCTGTAGTTTTATTGTGCAGAGCTGGCGTGTATTGTATGTGCAAACGCCATAGAGAAAAAAATGTCAGGTGATGTTGTATAAAGAGCTCAAAAGTCTGCATGAGGTGGTGGGTTTTTGCCCGTGCTTTGTGTGTGAGTGAGTGTTGTTTGGGAGGAGTGAGACTGGTCTTTGCATCCTGTTGTGAATGTGCAACTGTCCGTGTGCTGTTGTGTGCGATGAAGAGGTTACTAAATTTACTTAAATTAGATTAGTTAAGTTATTTTACTTAAGAGCAAATTCACACCTAAAGATCTAGTTTCTGAATCGAATCAGTACATGGATAATACTTGTTTAATTTTTCCAACTGGTCCGGACAATGTTGGCTCCCAAGGAGAGATTTTAAATTAACGCCCCCCCATGCCCAACCCTAAAAAGTCCCCCTCAGGGGTTGGTCCCCATCTCCCGAGCATCAGTGATATCGCTGAGGTGAGGTGCCTCCGCAGAACCCGAAGGATACTAAAGGACAGTACCCACCCAGCCACAGCCTGTTCACCCTGCTGCCGTCTGGAAAGGGATATAGAAGTTCTACTTCGTATAGGCTTTGCCCTCTAAGGCTATCGCTATTGGGTTTACCCCTACACTGAGAAAAGCTTGTCTACACCCACCCGCAGTGTGGGCCTCTCTTACGTCCTTATCTTGTTTATATACACAACAGTGAGACCTGGCCGTTGGCTCCCATTTTTCTTGAGCACTGAGCTGTCTAAAGAGCAGAAGAATACCTGCTAGTGATTTCTTTCAGCAGGCAACATCCGTGCGGATGTGTGGCGTCTGTGAGACAGGCTTCATCCTGCCGGGGGACCTCCATCCCCGAGGTGAGGCGTGCCTTGGGCTGGAGCACGCTGAAGAAGGTGTGGCTCCCTGGACGAAGCCCTCGACCTGCTGTTACCGTCCGTAGGTCTCTCTGTTCCAACCTCTGGTGGACGTCAGCCTTGACTCCAGCCTTGAGGAAGTTCTCTCAGGGGATATTACCGTCTCGCTCTCCGCCACTACTTCCCTTCCATCTGTCGGCGGCCTCATGAGAGAGCTCCCCCCCCATCATTCAGAGGGCTGCCGCCCACCGTTATCTGGTTGTCCCCACAGCCTAAGAGCTCGTCCCTAAGATCCGCTATAGAGCCCCAATGGGTCTTGCCGCTGAGAGGTAGCGCTTGGAAGGTTTAGGTCTCTCACAGGAGGTGGTGTGCACCATCCAAGGGTCGAGAGCCGCCTCCACTCAGTCCTCGTACTCCACCAGATGGTCGGCATTCCAACTCTGGTGTTTGGACCAGGGGTTGGACCCGGAGGCCGGTCCACTGCCTGGGCGTTTCCTGAAGGAAGTGTGGAGGCACAGGCCTGATGAATCATACTTCTTGATCTCTGGGGAGGACAGCGGTACCATTCGAAGATCTGACAGTGTATCTTCCTTCGTTTTAAGAAAAACGTCTGCTTTCCTTTTGTTGGTTTGGTGGTTAAATGTCGCCACATTACACTTGTTGCTAGCCAGCTAAAAGCTACAACTTTGTAATTAATAATAAACACTAGCAGCTTTCACGCTGCGCCAGGCCCGCTGCAATGTATGAAAGGTACGGAGCCAAATTAGTCCACCTCTGGGCCGGGGGAGTTAATGACAGAGAGACGGAACGATCTATGTGTGAAAAGCTGCAGCCGACATGATGGCGTAACAATCTTTTTACACGCCGCTGGTTCCGATAAAGCCAGACTGATATGTAAAAGCACACATGGTTGCGGATCCAGGGTGACTGCAGCTTGGCTGTCCTGAGCCCAAAACCAAGCTTTTATGCCTAAGAGCATCACCAGCTCTGTTAGGTTGAGAGTGATTACCCTCACGGGCCTTTTCCCTCCTCCTCATAGGTCTGAGGAAGAAGCTGCCTCTGACCTCCTCTGCCCTGTGCGCACACTGTCCTGCTTCGTGGCCCAAACAGCTGCCTGGCGCCGCTTGTTTGTGCACTACAGGGAACAGTCCAAGGAGCTCCCCCCTGTCAAAGCAGGCTGTGCAGCGCTCTTTCACAGGCTCCGGACAGCATCACAGCGCACTCACCAGCAAACAAATAACTTTTCTTTTTCTCTTTCCAGCTCCACCTGAGGTGTACATGTTCTCAAAGAACAGTAAAGTTGAGTCAAAGGTCATTTTGACGTGCCTGGCCACAGGCTTCCACCCAAAAGACATCATCCTGCAGATCAAAAGGGACGGCAGTGTTCTAACTGAAGAGCACGAAGTGGTTACATCGGGCGTTCGACCAAATGACGGCGACACCTTCCAGAGAAGCGACAGTGTGGAGATTTTAAGGACTGACATGTCTACATACACCTGTGAAGTGAATCACCCAGGATACAGGTTACATGTTGAGAAGGAATGGGGTAAGAACCTGTTTCTTATTCTTTGTTTTTCGCCATTTGTCATTGTTTTTGCAATGTTTACTGTTAGGAAGTGTCAAATCAGCCTGTTCTTATGTCAGACGTCATATATACACGCTTGACAAGCATATTTATTTACATTTAAATGTATTCATTTAGCTGACGCTTTTATCCAAAGCGACTTACAATTGCTATACATGTCAGAGGTCGCACGCCTCTGGAGCAACTAAGGGTTAAGTGTCTTGCTCAGGGACACAATGGTGTCTCACAGTGGATTCAAACCAGGGTCTCTCACACCAAAGGCACGTGTCTTATCCACTGCATTATCACCACCCCTATTTCATGCTAAACGTTGTTTTTTCGTGTATAGTAGACGTCCCCATGTGCGTGTGTATGATGCCCTTGGGAAACGCTAGCGCTTCCGGTCGCTAACTAGTTAACTAGCTAGCGATGTTTGTGTTTAAGAGTTGACAGCCCCCCAAGGCAACTTACCCTAACCTTAACCGTCACAGAAGTTAGTGCCTAAACCTAAGTCAGTAAATTTATGCAAGTTGACCAGCTGTGGTCGACATGTGCTTTGCACATCGGCCTCACGGTGCTAGCAGGTAGGGTTATGGTGCTTTTAGACCAAAAGCGACGCGAGCGTTTGGGGCGGTGAGTTTACATACAAACTCAATGCAAAGACACGTAGAGCCGCGATTTCCTGTCGGGTGCGACGCGAAGGGGGCGGGGCTGGCGACGCGAAGGCAACGCGAAGAAATTCGCGTGAGTTGAATATTTCCAACTCAAGCGAAGAAGTCGCACGACGCTGAGTCGCGATAGCCTATCAGTGTTGAGATTGTCCGTACATCACCGAGGCTTCAGAGCGTTGTGTGGAGAGGACCAGGCAGAGCGGGAGATTGAAAATCTGCTGGCCGGCTGAGAGCTGCTAAACGTGGGGGAGAGGAGCAGGGAGCAGCGCTGCAAACATTGGACAAATAAACACCCATAGTTGGTCGGATTCTGCTCTGACAGCTATGCCGTTATGCTGTCGTACTACGACTTCATATTTATATAAAAACTGGACATTACCTGGAAAAAAGAAAGTGAGGAGGTTGAACTACCGGGTGAGTTCATAAAACATGTGTCTGTAACTTCCAGCTATCATTGTACTTTACTATGACCAAGTTAGCATAGCACAGCCCTGATCGATCCAAACTCCATTCAGAAAACAAACATTTTAGTAGTTGTTGTCCTGCTGTCTTGCTGACAGACCTGACAAAGCATGAATTCATATGTTTAACAAATCTACATCATGTTGTAGTTATTTCGGCATCAGTTTAATCCGTTTATTGCTATGTAATGTTGTTTACTTTGGGTTCAGGCAGTTCTAGTAAAGGCGAGTTGTGTTAGGGTTAGGGTTATCGCGTTAAAATCGCCTTCTTGCATCGTGTGTTAACACTTGCAGCGAATGTACTCACGCGAGGAACGCGTCGCAACGCGAAGATTCGCGTTTGGTCTGAAAGGACCATTACCTCCTTTGTGTTGCAACGCTATAGCAAACTGCAGCATATCATACACACGCAAAATCAATGTTTTGTGCACAATAGCCACGTTTTCTTCAAAGCGTGTATAAATGACGCCTGAGATGAGATTGGGTTGGTCAAATGATGGTCAAATTTCCGTACCAAGAGGTCAACTTGAAGAATAATTCAGCTTAATTTAAAATTTGGTATTTTGTTAACTTTGGTCATCATTTCTGTCCGTTATGGTAACAAATTCAAATCAAGGAAGTTCAGTGAGACCAAAAATGATCAGACTGTTACACGACTTATAACTACAGCAACAGTCAGAAGGTTTGGGAACCGAAGGCCAAACCACTGGTTTAGAAAGTTATAATCAATCAATAAATTAATTTTTGTGTCATAGTTAGAAGTTACATGCTACATGGAGTTTTGAACTTGTAGAAGGTCAGAAACCTCTTTGATACTTGACATGGAACATCCTCTTTTCCTGTTTCTCACCAGCACAAATTCATGTTTTCTTAATGTAACCAAATGCTGCATTTCTATCATTTAGCTTTTACATTTTTGCAGCATACATCAACACCATAGTTGAAAAAACAAACAAATACAATAAAAAAATAATGTTCAAAGTGAGTGAATATAAAAGTAATGTGAATGTTTTCTGTTTTTTAGATCATAAACTACCTCCTGACATTGGAGAACATGCATCTATGATTGCTGGAGGTGTAATGGTCCTGCTGGTGGTGGTGGTGGTGGTGGTGGTGGTCGCATCCGTTGTGGTTCTGGCTGTCGTGTTCAGAAAAGGCAAATCAGTGGAGCGAAATAAATCTTTAGTGCTTTGCTTAGTTACCAGCCATGTTTTCTTAAATATAAGTTGAGGTATAAGCTTTGTAGTAACATTTAAGCAACATGGACATTTTAAAGTCAGTGAACAAGACCTGAAGTGTGCAGTAAACAGCAGGATAAAGAGGCAGTAACTGATGGAGTTCATTTCATCTTCTTTAGCCCCGCTAGTGTCGTGTAGTAGGGACGTCAAGCTAAACCCACCATGCTGCTGTAAACATCTTAGCATGCTAATATGCTTTAACTGAGCATATTACTAACTAGAGTTTGGTGTTGGTGTTGACAATAAATACCGAAATACTAGAGAAATGTGTTCTACCCTGCTGTCTGTACAGATTTTATCCCTTAAATATCTCTGGTTGTTGAGGCCACTACAGTCAGTGTTGGTCATTGATGAGCAGGTTTGAAGGAATGGCATTATTGAACATAAAGGATGTGATGAAAATATTTTTGGTGTTTAATTCACTGAGTTAGCCAAAAGTTCCCAATTGTTAAAATTTCATGAAATTTACAATATAATTTATCTGCCGCAATAAAACATTAACACTATGAAAACGAAACATTTAAAACTGAGACAATGAAAATGTTCACCACTGAATTAAGTGACCTTTAGATTGTCCATAAATTGTGTATTTTAAAAGTCAGCTAATGGAACGACAGATGCAGATTTAGACCATGCCATTGATTATATTCAATGATCCATTAACATTTCTTTTATTCACAGGAGCTGGAGCCAACCCTCCTCAAGGTAACTACTTTAAGTCTCATGAAGTTCATTGTTCAGAGGTTATTGATCACTAAACTAAATGAGATGTTGTCAGGTGCGTGTGCTCTCTGCAAGCAGCTTGGAGTAACGACAAGGAAAATATTCAGTCGTGGGCAGCCCTGAGAACAGTTACAAGATGATGAGCCTTAATGTTTCCGATGTGTGTAGAAAATAACCCCAATAAAAAATAAACATCAACACGGAGAACATACAGTAGGCTATGTGATAATTTGGGTGAACTGACCTTTTAAGGAAAGAAATACACATCACCAAATATGCATGTAAAAAATTACAGAGAGAGCAGATAGGCCTCCATGTTGTAAGTGTCTATTTTTGTGTGTGTGTGTGTGTGTGTGTGTGTGTGTGTGTGTGTGTGTATAAATATAATATATCAAATAACACTTCTTTTCATCAATGCAGCTACTCAGCTCAAACAACTCCCGGCCCGAAGTCTTCTGGAATAGAAGTCTGAAGTTTCTGCAGATCATTTTTATTTTCATTAGAGTACATGAAGACTCACTGTGTTCTCTTCAAACCAAATTCACCTATTTAACAAATACATTTACTGTGGGATACAAATTCAACGGGGAATTTGAAATCAACAAAGAACAATGAACATGTAAAAGTTACAAAATGTCTTTATTTTTCAATGCAAATCATTTTTTATTGGCCAATATAATGCAGGTTTAGGGGCTTCTGCATTCGACTCAGTTTTATTTTAATATTTTATTTTCATTTTATGCTTTAAAAAAAATTAACTTGCATTGAATTGAGACTTGCTATAAATGTACCACGACAGTCAGCATCACGTTTGCTTTCACTGTTAAAGTCATTGTACAGTTACTACTAACAGAAAATGTTACTTTGACAACAATCACAACAGATTTGATGTTTGTTGTTGTGGATTATGTAACCTGAGGATGTTTCAAAGTCTACAAGACTAGATGTGAATGGAAACCAATGGCTGCCTCAAAACTGAGACACAATTGGATGCAAACTTTTTTTTATATATGTGATATGTATGTCTGTATATGTGATTTGTAGCAGCTAAAATATTTAAATACACTGGTATGATTATTTAACAAGTCACCAGGTTTTAGCCTACAGTAATCAATGTATTTTTAGTGGGTGATCGTGGATCATTTAAAATGTAATGCTTATATTCATACCACTGTATATTAATACTATACGGCAAATACAGGATTTTTTTTTATCAAGCTCTTAAAAAACTTTTAGGAGCAGTTTATCTGTCATATATGCTCACTGACTGATTGATTAATTGACTGATAGGACTTTAAATTTATAGGACTGTTTGCAAAGATTTACTGTAAACACATTATTATTTTGGTAATTTACTGGTAAATTTTTTCTGGTGGGTTTTCTAAGCACAGTAATTCATGAGATATTGTTTTAAGCAAATATAAAATTATCTCGTCTTTAGCGCTTTTAAAACTGGTTGTTCATGTTATTAATGCGATCACTTAACCATGTTGGTTTCTTATACATTTGGCTTACAGACAGAGTAATTAATAATTTGATCTGCTTTGGGTTGAATGTTTGGTATAGTTAGCTATAGGATTATTTTATTTTGTTGTTTTTCCTTATACTAACTGAGGGTGTTGATTATTGGGTGTGGGTGAGAGTGGGTGTGCGAGTTATCTGTATATGTGTGTGTGTAATATATGTAGTTTTGTAATGTTCTGTTTTGTATTTGTCTATTATGTATTTGTGGTATAGGACCCCCTTTGAAAATGAGATGCTGCATCTCAAGGGGTTATCCTTCAATAAATTAAATTTATATTTGAAACTATTGTTATCCAGCTGTTTATTAATAGCTGAAATGTGAGGATAGTTTGTTTAATTACCAGTGAAAAAGTTCCCTCCTGGTGATAATAATTATAATGATTGTGTAAATATATTTTTGACAATACAATGAAATATTTCTCCTGGAGCACCAATCTGTTAGTTGAAAAAAATATCCAAAAAGTCTGCATTATGTGTGAAATGACAAAACCATTTGATTGTAAGATCGCGGTGACAAACATTAAATATTTCCTGCTTCTGTCTTAAGTTCAAATTAATTCAAGACATTTCATTGTGAAGCCACGTGCCAACAATTTAGGAAAGACATTGAGTCAAGTCACCTTTATTTATATAGCACATATAAAAACAACCCAAAGTGCTTTCCAAATACACAGTATACAAAAATGTCCTCCTCTGCCTATGATTGGCTAAGCCAGACGATGACGATTCTTGCGTAGCATTCGCTGCAAAACGGGGCGTTTTCGCTTCTTCTGCTGTTTTCTGCAAGTAGGCTCGAAATAGTTGCGAAATCTGGATAAAAAGCAGCAACAGCGTCCTTAATTTGCACCGTCTGTGCACAGCGACGAGGAAAAGGAACGAAGCAGCAACAGAGTGAACAACAGTTCAACAAGCTGAGATTTAAAAGCATGAAGGCAGCCATCTCTGTGTTTATAATGCATTATGTCGCAGTTTCCATACTGCTGGGGACGGGACTGATGGTGAACAGCCGTGAGTAGTTGTGTCAGTGTAAATGTGAAGCAGGAAAAGGAAAAAATAAGAAATTATTGATGCTGATTTCCACTCAGCCCACACGCCTGATACTGCAACTAAGTGATGACATAAAGTCGAAATACAAGAAATTTAATTTATGTTTCATGCAGACTTGCATATCTTCCCCGTATACAACATGATTATTACACAGATTCAGGTTAAGGTTTTTACGGACCCCCTTTTGTACTTTTAAGTCAGAGAAAACTATTAAATCCAAGAACATCAACAGGAAAATGTAGGTAAAGTATGGAAAAGGTAACAAAAACTAACAGGCCTTTAAAATTTGAGGCCCTAAAATACAGTAGCGTTGATCAGATAATCCACTATGATGGACCTTCTCATTGTGGAAAATACTTGAAGTGAGTCTGCAAACAGTATCTCCCTGTAGAGAATTGAAGATTGTCATGTACATGAAAACGTGTGCAGCCCCGACAGTCATGAAGATTGCTTCATAATCGCTTGACTTTCTGATCTTTGTTTCAGTGAATGTGAAACACTATCACACGTTGAAATAGCTCGAAATGATGTCCTAAAGCTGTTCATTTAATCTGATCAACGGTGGAAAAACTGTCAGTTTACTGTAAAATTAAACCAAAAAAAAGCAAGCATTCCTCAAACGCAGGAGTCGTCATTGATTCATTAAAGATTTAATAATATAGTGACTTGAACATGAACCTTTATGTGTCAGTGTTAACTAAATAAAAGTAAACCTGACATTTTTGCCGAACAAAAACTGAACCTTGACTCAAATGCGACACAACTTCTCAATTACTGGGAGACAGGAAGGAAGCAGCTTAACTGAGTAAATAATAGGCCTAATGTCTGATCTGGTGGAAGTCAGAATGAGAATACAGAAACTGAGAGAATCTACATTTTACTTTCTTTTGTCCTGAGTCCTTTGTCCTAAATCGGTTAGACTGAGCTCAGGAGTAATGTTAATGTCACTTACAGTTCAATTTATGTTCATACCAAACAAACCAGAAATACCAAAAACTTGTCTCTGCCACAGTAACTTGTATTTCTACTGTTCATTATAATCACTTGAACATTTTTAAAACTAAACCACTCTCCCCACAGGGTCTAATGAATTATCTGCCTTGTCTAATAAATATCTGTCTGTCTGTGTGACTCTCAGAGAGACATTCCCTCTTTTACACCTACACGGCTCTCTCCAAACCTGTCGGACTCCCGGGCATCCACCAGTTCACAGCCATGGGTCTGCTGGACGGCAGGATGATCGACTACTTTGACAGTGAGCACCAGCAGAAAGTTCCCAAACAGGACTGGATGAAAGAGAGACTGCCTGCAGATTACTGGGAGAAAGGAACACAGTCCCGCCTGAGCAAACAGCAGTGGTTCAACGTCAACATCGACATCCTGAAGAAACGAATGGGACAAAATGATTCAGGTAAGATCCATGAAACAAGAAAGACCACGACCACTTTTTGATGAAAACCATGAAATCAACTATAATAACATTACAGATAAATGCTCTATCAAAAATTCAAATCTGACCCAGCTCATCATGTTTGTCTGTCATTACCTCCGGTTTCAGACGTCCATGTTCTTCAGTGGATGCACGGCTGTGAGGGCGACACGCAGCCTGACGGCACGATTAGGTTCCGCCGCGGCATAGACAAGTACGCCTACGATGGAAACGACTTCCTGTCCTTTGACGACGTCGACCAAGTCTGGGTCGCCCCAATTGAAGCGGCCGTCCTGACCAAGAGGAAGTGGGATGGGGTCCAGGTCCTTAAAGATTACACCAAAGGCTACCTGGAGTACGAGTGCATGGAGTGGTTGAAGAAGTTCGTGGACTATGGGCGAATGCAGCTTCAAAACGCCCGTATGTTTACTTAAGTTATCTTGCGCGGGTTCACACCTGAAGGTTCGGTATCTGAATCAAATCGGTATGAGGATGATACACTGTTCATATTTTTTAACTGGTCTAACTTTGCGTTCACAAAGGCAAAACTCAAACTATTCCAAAAACTCACACAACATTGCAGCTGAAATCATTGCGTCTTCATTTAATATTTTGAATACGTCAGTGTTGTTAAACACTTTCTCTAGTAAGAAAGTGAAACGTTCTCTGCAGCCCAAATATTCAGGAGGTATCTCACTTTGACGCGAGTCCACGTCCATGCTAGTCAACATTTTGGTATGCAAACACAAGATTTTTAAAGAGGTCATATTTATCATTTATCTTTCCATCTCCTTTATTGAGTTGTATACTTTTTTTGTGCATGTAACAGGTTTGCAAAGTGAAAAAGGGAGTTCCCATCTCCCACAGAAAACACTGCTCCTTCCTGAACACAGATGGATTATAGTCCAGCCTTTACTTCCTTAAGGCTTGTGCAGACTACACAACTTTCAGCGTCGGCCGACAACTTGCCGTCTTGTGACGGAAGTCTTGAAGTTGTTGTGGCGTTCACACTACGTGACTGATGGGTGACAGGGGGTCACAGGTCACAGTCACCCAACGCTGGTCTTCAAACCACATGTCTAGAAAACACACTTTAAATATGAAATGGTAAACCTACAGACAAAACATCTGTTGTTTGTTCTTATAAAGACAAAGAATCTGGGTGAAAGAACGGATTAGCTCAGGTAGCAGGGATTGTCTGAGCTACAGAGAGAGCTGGAGGGGAGTTAAAAGTGGTTTTCGGTGAAAAGGTAGCTGTCTGCTCTCATTGGCTGGATGTGGATGTCGAGTCGGCCGACTCTCCCAGATATTTGCCATGCTAGATATCTGGCTGGCGTCTGCGATGTGCCAGGGATGCATCGTTAAGTAGTTCATACATAATGACTGGCGACCATCGCGTAGCTCTCCAACCGGCAAAACGGGCTTAAAATCGAGTAGTGTGACTAGGCTTTAAACTTTGTACCACATGATGCTCACCTGGTGTAGAAACACACTGAGCTGCAGCACACACAGACAAGACGTCCGGCCGCCGCCTGCCCTCACCTCCGCCCTCCAGGGTGATAAGAGGAGCTGCAGCAATGTGCAGTATGACAAAAAATATGGTGTTTTTTGACAATTAAACCATGTAAACCTGCTCTAGTAGAACCTCTAAATAAAATTATGAGCCTGAAAATGGTGTTCATACCAGAAATTAACTGCTACAGAGTTCACTTGTCAGTGGTGCGAGACCACCCCTTTAGTGCGGTTGTTTTGTCCGAAACCAGAGTTCGAGTCCGGCGTTCACACCAACCCAAAGGAGCCGCACCAAGCGGGTAAACGTTCCAGTGTTTGGTTCTATTGGACTAAACATGGTAGGAACCCGCCCTAATTTATGTTACGTATTTAGGTTCCTAAACCTGACCAAACTAAGCTTCGCTGGTGATGTGATGACAGTTCAAGGTGATGCTTGAAGCATAACGTGAAGTTTCAAGTCTACAGATTTATAATTCATGTTCCTGAGTGGAAGTCAGGTTAAGAAAGTAAACTGCGGCTGCTGAAGGAAGAAGTTTTAGGAAGTGGTGGTTCTGAATGTCATTTCTGCATTAGAACTGCTATTTTATAAAAACATACACATCTTAATTAAAAAAAGAAAAGCAAAAGATGCAGAATATGGCTCTGTACCAATAGAAGAGATGAAGACGTATAAGAAAAAGAGAGAACATGTCAAACACTTAGCGTGTAGTTTGAGGTTCGTTCTGGAGCTTCTTCGTGTGAGTAGAAGGAACCCGTTTTAACATCATCGTAGCCTTAAGATGCTTTCAGGAAACTGTGCCTGTACGTTTCTGTTTGGCCGCCAGCAAACAATAACTTTGCTTTTTTTTTCTGTGCAGCTCCACCTGAGGTGTTCATGTTTACAAAGAACACCGCAGTTGAGACAAAGGTCATGTTGACGTGCCTGGCCACAGGTTTCTACCCGAAAGACGTCATCCTGAACATCAAAAGGAACGGCCGCGTTCTGACTGAAGAGGACGGAGTGCTTACCTTTGGCGTTCGACCAAATGACGACGACACCTTCCAGAGAAGAGACAGTGTGGAGATTTTAAAGAGCGACACGTCTACATACAATTACACCTGTGAAGTGAATCACGCTGCATCCGGGCTACATGTTGAGAAGGAATGGGGTAAGAAACTTATGTATGTACTTTATGTGTTTGTCTTTTTTAGTTTTTTCTCATGGTATTATTTGGACACTAGTTTTCTGGCCAAACACTGTGGCGATGATTAGATCATCAGGTGCAGTTGTTCAGTTTATAGTGGTGATTGTGGGTGTGATCGTGAAAACGCTGCTTGTGGTCTTTAGGTTTAGAGATGTGTTATTGTTTTTTTTGTTTGTTTGTTTGTTTCGCTGTGGACCTTTTCTCTCAGGGGGTGCAGTCTTGTGCCCATGAAGGGGCGTCACTCCCCTCAAAAAGGGATGAGATGAACCTCATTTGAGCTGCCAAGTAGTAGTTTTTTTTAAAATCTGGTAATCAAAGTCCCCCCTGAGCCACAGTCCCATGTTAGCTTTCCCATGGAAATCCGGGGTACTTTACAAGTCCATAAAAAGATTATCTGACATATCTATTGAGAGCGTTTGAAGAAGTATTGTGGTAATGGAATGGGCGGGGATTGAAACATTGCAATCTCAGTTTTACATTCACTTTAATACAATGAACTCTTCCAAGCCCACCCATCTACGTAAATCATCCTCCATCTTACTGAGCAGTGGGAGGTAATTCAGTTTGTACAGGTTTTTGAGGTATCCCAGGGTATTTGATACCATCCATAGGCCATCTAAATAGACTTGCTGGAGTTTGGAGTGATCAAAATTTGTCAATGGAATTATTTCACTTTTTTCAAAATCTACCTTATAGTATTTAGTATTTAAGTAATATTTAGTACAGTGTGTAATTTGGAGAGAGAGTTATTAGGATCTTTTAAGTACAAGATAACGTCATCTGTGACCCACCTGAAAGCCCTTTTATATCAAGATCTTGTCTAATTGCTTCAGCTAAAGGCTCGATTGCTAAGACAAAAAGTGCCGGAGACAAAGGGGGCATCCCTGTCGACTTGATCTGCTTAAAGGGAATGTGGATGAAATCTGTCCATTGGTGCTGTTTTTTGAGTTTGAACCCAACTAATAAATAATGGACCGAACCCAAACTTGGCCAACACTTTAAATAAATATGGCCACTCTAGCCTATCAAAGGCTTTTTCAGCGTCTTAAGCCTACATGGGTTATTAGCTGAGGAGCGCTTTGAAATAAAGCCACACTGGTCTGGATTCATTAGTTGTGTCAGGTATTGGCCCAGTCTGTTTGCCAGGGCCTTAGAAATGAATTTATAATCTGCATTTAACAATGAAATTGACAGATATGAAGAGCATTTCAATGGATCTCTATTTTTTTTTTGTAAATTACAGTAATTGTGGCTGTAGAGAATGATTCAGGGAGTGTTCGAGTCTTAGAGGCCAAAAGGGCAGATCAAGACTATTTTGATCTTCCTGGCCAAGTTCAATCATGGAGAAAAATTCATCAATGTTACTCAGATTTTCTAGTGGTTCTGATGTGTACAAATGTGTGTAAAACTGTTTGAATTCATCGTTAATTTCTGAACCTGTTTCAGTTTGGATTGAGTTAATCGTCCTAGAGCTTTCAGAATTTTGTGCGCCCTCTTTCCCAATTTATGGTACCTTTGCTTGCTTCTCAGAATGTTTTTCCAATTTCAATCTCAAGGGAATTCCTGGTTAAATAAAGGTTAAATAAAAATACATATAGTGCATGTACAGTATATACATGTAATGATAATAATTATAAATATACTGTCCTAAATTCATTTTCTGTTTTCTGCATGGTTTACAGATGGTGACTCTTGTAAGTATCTCAGTTAATCATAATAAATCTGCACTAAAAAATGTTTGAAAGACTTAATAATATTAATTACCAATAGACTGTAAGTTAACCATACAGAATACATAATCTTTACAATATTTATACAAAAGTTAACATTTCTGTTCATCCTTGCAGCCAATGACCCAGACGACCAAAACCCAAGTACTGTCGGCGCTCTCACCGCTCTCGCCAAAGCCGCTCTCACCAAAGCCGCCGCCGTTCTCACCAAAGCCGCCGCCGCTCTTGAGTAGGTGGAGGGCTGCAGTAGGATGTTCCTGCAAATAACATAATTTCCATCAGCGTACATGAAACCTAACTCTGCTCTTTAAAACCAAATTGGCCGATGAAACGAATGTTTTTATCACAGCGCAGGCAATAGAAACCAGAGAGGGAAAATTAGAGGGGAAAAAAATAATGGACAAAGAATATTGTGTATTTAAGAATTTAAATGAGCTACAGATGTCTCCACTGTTTCACACTCAAGGACAGTCTCCTGTTACAGCTGTGAACTATGGAATAAGGCAGGCTGCTTTATATTTTTAACCATGCTAACGGCACAGCTCTATGGTTGGCAGTCCACCAATTTAGATTTAAATATCTCAGCAACTAGCCTATTAGACTGATTCTCACGAATCTGGTACAGATATCCAGAGTGCCTAAATTATGACTCTTAATAACTCTGGAACATTTCCTCTAATGCCACCACTAGGTCAAACTTTTCACTAATCCAGTGAAATATAATCTACTAGATCGATTGGCACAAAATGTTGAACAGACGGTTCATGTTCCCCTCAGGATGTGGTGTAATAACTTTTACTTTGACTTTTGACTTTTGCCTTATTTGACTTTATTTTATGCCTTCTATTTTATTCTATTTTACTAATTTTATATTTATCTTAAACGTGTATTTTAGTCTTTTCAATGTTTTCATGCTTTTATCTTATATTGTTTTTGTATTATTGTCTCTTGGGTAGTATTGTCTTTACACTTGTTAAAGCACTTTGTAACTTGTTTTTGAAAAGTGCTCTACAAATAAAGATTATTATTATTATTATTATTATTATTATTATTTTTAAACAGGCTATAAATTGTACATTTAGGAAAAGGAAGTGTTATACGTTGTGGCTTACTTGTTACCATAAAATGAAACTAAATAGGGTTGATTTATCTAATCACAGAGACCCACGTGCACCAGCCACAGTAGTTTTCTATGATAAAGCTGTTTTCAATGCGGCAAAATCAGTATTTTTTGGAGTATGAAGTATTTTCTCTTATGCTTGTTTAACTTTGTCTGTTCGTGTTGAGCAATACTTTTCAAAGTTGTCAGTATTTTGTGCACTTTATTTGATAATCAAGCAAGTAGACTCATGATACAATTTGTTATCACAGTGTTGTCCACAATAATCGCAATATGACTTTTCCTCCAAATCGCCTTAAATCCAATATAAATGTAAAGGATTCTGATTATGTTTTTACAGATTATGTTTCTTACTGGTTACCAGTGCTTGTTCCTGCACCCTATGGGTTTTCATGCACTTATTTTCATATTCAATATGCATCTATGCATTCTTTGCTGTCTTACATAGATTTTGTATTTTTGCATGCTTTTTTTAAATTGCTACTTTTTGGGTACTTGAACCTTAAAGATCAATATTTTTATAATTCAGCTGCTTTTACTCAAAATGTATTAAAATTGCAGTACTGATGATTAACATGTTGAAATATATTTGATTTCAGTAAGTACATTTATGCAGATTCAGAGATCAATGTCATACATTAAAGATGACTTGGATTGTCATACTTACAGTTACTTAGTGTGTGTGTGTGTGTGTGTGTGTGTATTTATATAATACACACACAAGGTTGTTTATTAGTCATTATACAGCACAAGGCTGCATAACAAAATGACATTTGTAGTTTCTTCATGCTACACACACATATAATTAAGTGTAAGCCTAAAGTATGGTAACATATGAAATAAAAACATACAGTTAATTATGTACATATATACATAGTGCATTTTTGAATGTGCATATAGGGTGAATATAAACAGCAGCAACCAGATGATAATATGAAAGTTTCATCTTCACAATAAACAGAGTCCATCGTGACTGCGTTTGAGCACCAAGCCTCATCGCTGTAAAACACAGTCCAGCTCTTCTCATCTTGCCGGATATATTTTGTATTTATTATTAAATTATATATTGCACAGGATGTATATATTATCGATATACAGTATTGTATATTTATATAACTGTATTATGTTACTGTTAATAATTATTATTTTATTTGCGTCTTTTGTTTGCACACGCACGTTGCGGCATGACGTCAGTAGGCGGCGGCAGAGCCCGGCGGTTTGAATCCTGACAGCGGGCTGCTGCCGGTCTGTTTATCGGCTGTTTGGTGTGTTTGTGTTTCCTCTCAGCCTCAAGTCCCGGAGCAGCCGTCCGGTCATCTGAGCAAAACAACCGGCAGAGACTCCAGCGCGTTTATCTCCGTGTTCTTGAGTTTATTGTGTCCTTTTCTTACCGGTAAGCTAACGGTCGTTAGCTTGGTACCATGGTGACGCTCCGCGTCAGAGGCAGCGGGCCGCAGCAGCAGCTCAGGCCGGACAGGAGCTCCGATTCCCCGCAGAGGACTCCACCCCGGAGACGGAGCTCGATCACTGATGTGAGTTTGTTTGTTTGGAGTTTAACGAAGCTTCACTGCATCTTTTGACTTTTAATACGTTTCAATATCAACTGTCAGAACCAAATGAGTAAAACCGAGCATGTTTACAACAATTAATATTATATTTATTGTTATGTTGTAGCTGTTGTTGTTTTGTCTTGTTTTTTCTGTGTGCTATGGACCTTCCATTTCGAGTCCTGAATAAAGTCATTATTATTATTATTATTAATTAATTTAGTTAAATTGTGAATCACATTCAACGTTAGTTTGTATATTTGTGGAGAGGAAACATATTTTGGATTAACGTTAGTGAGAAATTAAATAAATGACATAAGAGCCAGTTTTTATTCAGAACTTTTAGTATTTTTATTAATTAAACTACTATCATTATTATTATTTATACATATTAATCGGAAATTAACCACAAATCATTAAAATCATAGTCACATTAACATTTAATTTTATTAATTGTCAGTAATAACACACCAACATTTATTTTATGAATTATGAATACAGCTATGATTGCATTCTTTCTCTGTTGCTTATTCCCACTTCTAACATTCATTTTAATTACATAATTGTAAATTACATTGGATTTAAGGATTTCTGCTGCACCAAAATCTAAAAACTTTGGTATTACTACCAAATCAGTCCCGACCAGTAGGCTGATATACATTGCAGATGTATTGGTTCTGGCACATAGGCTATGTCAGCTGCTAAAATACAAGATATTGAAGTACAGAAATACCAATGACATGTTTCTTCTGGTTTGTCCACCAGAGAGAAGTGACACATCTATTTTTCTACTGGAAAATTACCTGCCCAGCACACGTCTCGGTCACAAATTAAAGGAAATCTTTTCAAAATCGTCTGATATATCATTATTGGATTTTTAAAACTTGTTTAAAAATGATTGGCATCGCCCTTAAAATGATCTGTATGCTACTCACTGCGCTGCTCTGTAAATGGTTTAATGATAAAGATGGTAACAACATTCAACTATACCAAGATCCACAGTTAAAGTAGCCAAAGAGCAGCCAATAGAAACTGAAAGAGTATTTAAACTCACTGGTTCAGCTTGTTTCTGCACGGCTTTAGAAATAAAATACACGTATGCAGTGTAGTGGGTGCACTGTTTGACGGTGTGAATATGACGCTGACGTCTTGTTAGTTGCAGGTGACTGACTTCTGAATTGTTTGACACATTTTTCAGGGATTCAGTGCCGAAGATGATGAAGACAATCACGACGATTCAGAAACACACGAGGATGAAGATGAGAAGCGACCGAGAGCCATCATCAGGTCGGACCAAAATTACCAATAAATGTTTGATAACCTCTCTCACTGCTGAAATTATTAGTCAGTTGATTTACTTCACTAGAATAAATGAAGTACCTAACATGCTTATATAATAAGACACCTTTGCAAATTGTCAATTCCAGTTAGTTGTTAAAAATGTATAACTTTAATGAATTTTGTTTTGTGCTTATAGGAAATCTCCAAGGCTTCAAAACACAACAGGTGAGTCACATTACCAGAATAAACACCAAGACCTGGAATATCAGGGAGTTTTGAGAGAGAAAGTCCTGAAATTTGTTAGTGTGTGTGTTTGTTAGTGCTGAAAATATTAAGTTCAGGTTCATTTCACAGGAAATCAGATGTCAGAGGTGGAAAATAACAAAGTAAATTTACTCAAGTACTGACACTTGGATTGATACGTCATATATATATATATAATATAATATTATAAGCCATCATGAAGTGCCCACTGATTGTATTTTGCTGCATGTGTGTTGCTTTATTGTGTCACTTGGTCGGACCAAAAACTGATCTGCATCATTTCTGTTCGGCTACAGAAAACAAAACGAGTGGCTGCAAAGATTTATTTAGATTATTTAATTACAGGGAATTTTTAATGTAAATGAATCTGCCTCTTAAACGTCTCAGGCGAGAATATTTGACAACAATCTGGTTTAATTTGAGAGTTTTGCTTTCTCTCGACGGTGTGATGCTGTTTCAGAGGCTTCAGCGGCGGTCACAAAGAAATGATCATATAAAATATGAACTTGTATTTTTTGGTGCAGCACAGTGGGTACACACCGGTGACTTTCAGAAACACCTGTCAGTCAACATGCATAACAACATGTGTGTGTGTGTGTCCAGGTGTCAGGAGGAGTGGGCTGAGGAGGAGCACCAGGCTGACCAAACTGACCAGCAGATATCAGGCCTCCAACATGTTTGACGGCATCAGCACCAAGTAAGACAGCAGCTGCATCAAAACACTCAGAGGCAACAACTGAAGAGACGTGGTGTAGTTATCAGAGCTGAAATGATCAATTAATTGATTAGTCCGTTGACTGAAAAATACTATTTATGTAGTAGAAATGCCAAATGTTTGTGAGGATTGGCTCCTTTTCTTTGCGTTATTTGACTGTAAATTGAATATTTGTCGGTCTTGTCGTGTTGATTTGTTGATGGAGGTTAAAGAAGCTATTTATTAGACGCTTTTATTGAATTGTTTAGGGCATTTTTCGTTAATATCTGATGTTTTTTAGACAGAATAATTAATCGATAAAATAATCTGAAGACTGCTAATAATCGCTAGCTGCACAGGATTGTTGGGTAAACAAAATGTGTGACTTTGGCATCTGACGCCTCCTCCAACCGGTTTTTAACCAAACTGCTGATCAGCAAAACACTCGAGCGAGTTTGTTTTTGATGTGTTATCAGTTATCTCATTCA